TAAGGGCTAAATGCTGGTATCTGTTACCTTCACAGAGGTGCAAATGTAGTAACTGTTGTGGTCCAGCATAAATGAAAACAACACTTGGTCACTAGGAGATTTAACATTGCAAGATTAGTTTCAGAGTAACAACATATAACAAAGTTCAGTTACTGTGTGACAAGATCATTGTAACTGAAATAAGATACAAGTTTTCCTTGATTTCTGCAAATATGTATATGGCACCAATGTGTTGGAGAAAAACTGGCATTTCTGTGCAGAACCAGCATAAAAACTATTCCTTTCATAACTGGTGGATCGTGTCCTGGTATTGTCTTTCTACTGAGACATGAATTTCACCATTTCTTCTTTGGTCAGCATGGCCCTGCTCTGAAGCAAATGTATAAAATTACGTAGCTTTATCTGTTTAATTTCATAACCTGCAGAAATCATAATTCTTTTTCATTTATGCCTCTTCCGAAGTGATAGAAACAGAAAACTTGTAAATACGGCTTAGGACATAATCTAAGCACATTCACATAAGCAGATACACAACAGAGTTGGTGAGATGCCAAAGTAGTATGGTCCAGCTGGTAAATTGTTAGGTTGGGACCCTGGAACCCGCAGTCAATTTCCTTCAGCAACTCTTTGTGCTCAGGTGAGATGCAAGAAAAAGGCAATTTCCAGTGTTGTCATCACACTACTGCATTAAAAAGATCAAGACTCTTCTACAATAGTAATGAAAATCACAGACACCTATTTTAGTAAGACAGGTGAAGAATCAAAACAATTCACTGAAAACTGTGCAGATCAAGGCATCGTCTACATAAAAGAAACCACCTAGGACCAGTAATTGAACTAAAAATATTTCTAGTGATTTTGGAAATCAACCTCTACTTTCAGTCATACTGTGCTGGCCCAGGGTAGCTGTCACAGTATCCAATCATGCAATAAATACTTCAGCACTGCTCCCAGGATTTTTTTTCAGAGATTTTCCTGTGAAAGTCACATCAGATCCAATGGAGAGTAAGGCAGCAAAAGGTCAAGGAAGGTTTTGACCATAGTACTTTTAAGTTTAGCTTTGAGGGAATGCAAGCAGAAAATCTTCTGGTCTAAGAATTTTACCTGACATCAGTGAGCTGAATCAAGGATATATTAATATAAAAAACCACAACCCTGCCAATTTTGACAGAAAGGCTATAGAGTCTTACGTTTGCAGGTTGGAAAGCAATTGTCTGCATAATATATTTAAGCTAGAATGACTCGGTTGCATGCCTGACTGTTTTTGTTTAGGAAGCCAGCTGTAAAGCTAAGCTGCAATAAGACGATGATCATAGTAATATAATTACTAGCACAAGGTTAGCCAAAGTGAATGTGTAGCCAAGAAAAATTAGAGTCTCAGTATGAGTCAATGCATTCATTTTCCAAACAGTTTGACTGTACAAGGTAGATAAAACAGTGTTTAAAAGGTACTGGTAACAAGGTGGTTCTTAATAGCTTTCAAACTGCACTATCTTGTGTTCTGCCATATCATGATAAAGCAATAAAGGTAAACAAAGAATCAAGCTGAAGCCCCACTGGAAAACAGCATTTTTGTCCTAATAATAAAAGTTTCATAAAGCTAACTGACATTTGCTGTCTGTTAAATTAAATCTATAGCTGGATGTAAAGTACCAGGGCCCCCTGCAGTGGTTTAGCTGCCTGGGTTCAAGGCCAATTCTGACACAGCACAGCCTCTTGCCCCTTTGCTTGGGAGCTGCATTTAAGCTGAGACACCTGCCCTTGATCCTTTACCAAGCCGCACTGCAGCTACACCTGTGCATGGCCACATTCTTCATCCATACAGCCTTACTGCATAATCGCTGCCTGTTGGCTGACCCTGCTTACCATCACTGGACCCAATCCTGACCCTGACTTGACTTTCTCACCTTGATCTTGGACCTACCTCACCACCAGAGACTTGGTAACTGGTTACCCTCTCTAGACCTGCTCTGCTTTTCTTGCCTGAGCACTGTGGGACTGCACTCCTTGCTGGTGAGGTCTCTGCCCCTGCCTACCTTGCTGGCACCTTTAGCTCTTGGCTCATCTTCCTCTACACAGTAGCTTGTGCTGCTCCTTGACACAAAAATCAGTTGTGAGCCCAGCAGAAGTAGCAACTATTATCTGGATCTAATGTCAATGTAATACAGAAATAAACATCAGTACTAAGTCATTCTATCATACCAAACAACATCAATTAAATGACAGGTCAAACCCATTTCATTTTACATCTTTCATTTAACTGTTTTATATGCTGTACAGCACTCCTTCTCCATCTCCCTTGTCAACAATGCTCTGCTCAAATACTGAAACAAAACCTGCACATGTTACTTTAAGCTATTAATTCAACCTGACCTTACAACATGGATTACATCACCACTCAGCTGGCTTTCAGCAGAGCTGCAGTTCCTTAAATCAGCTCCGAACTAGATCCAAAGGTTAAAATGTGGCTAAAGGGCCTGTTTTCAGGAGAAATCTACTTATGCCAGTCTTAAGTTTCACTGAAAGTTTGGGTAGGAGGGGTGAACGGAGGGGTGAAGGTGGGAAAAGTCAGGCTCTTCCATGCATTTTTGAAAACAAGAGTTGGTTCAGGTTGCAAAAAGTACCCCACGTGTCTAGGAATCTGAAAGACAAGCAGAATTCGTAGAATGAAGCCCACTGGTTCCCATGGGAACTTGGTACTTGCTTGTCTTGAAAATACCATTGGATATCAGCCCCTTCTTTGGATGCTAAAATACCTCTGAAAGTTAGTTCTCAGCATGTTAAGTTACCTGTGCAGCTTTGCAAGTGTTCTTCCCAAACCTGATTCTCATTTATATTAGTGCATCCCACGGAGTGAAGATGCTTACAGAATTTGACTGAACTAGGTTAATAAAGAGACAGTAATATTAAATCTGAATTTCACTGCTTTCAAATTTTAGACAAGAACTCTAATGTAACTATAATGCAGCTTTTAAAATTTTTACAATTCTTTCCAAGCATCTCAGCTACAGTAACTACAGAGTTTCTAAACTTCCCCTCTGATTATTATTCGATTCAATTATTTATGTACATTAAAAATGGTCAGAGGAATTCTGGAAACCATGACAAGCGTTCCAGATCTCGACATCTATCATTGCCAAAACAAAGAACTTTGAAAACAAGTTTCAAAGCATTCTACTCTGTCAAACATTGTGGTTTGTTCTTTCAATATACATGTTTATATATAGATATTAGATATTTTCACTGAGCGACACAGCTGCCAAATTACACTCCTTTAGTTTTAAATGTCAAAATATTCGAGTTTTTCTGCCTTCCTATGTGCAGAAGAAAAAAGAAAGGAAAGGAAACCTGTTCTAATTCAAAGACAAAAACCGGTGCTGTCAGAATGAATTTCAAGTAATCTTATAAATGGCTTGCATTTGATGGATGATGCCGATCTGTTTTTCATTCTTAATTTTAATGAGTATTTCTGAAGAACTAAGAGCAAAGTTGCAGTACGAAGAAGTGGTAATAAAAGATTACGGGTTACACTGATTTTGTTACTATCAATAGCGCCTTGGAAGTTTGGGCAGGTTTCCCCCAAGCAGCCTGTCAGTCAGTTTAGGTGCCAGTTACCCCAACTGCCATCTAATTTCTACAGGCCTCAGAACTCGAGTAAATTCTGAGCTGGTTTGCTTGCAGCAGTGACCACACCACATCAGCTAGCTGGGTGTATTTACACAGTGATTTGGTGACAGCAGGACTACACTGCAGATACACCCTGAGCTGTACTTGAGAGAAACGACATTACCAGGCCTTCATCTTCATTACATTGGCTTCATCACAGCAAATATGGGAAATGACCAGGATACAACACAATCCAGCAATCACTTAGTGCACTGCAAGGAATGAGATAGCAAAGCTCAAGTATATTTCTGACGAGAAAGTGTCTGCATTTTAATAAGGGCTAACTGGAATCTGGTAGCACCTCCTGGCAGACTGAGAAAGAAGCAAGTCTGAAGACTAGATTCACAACCTTTACACCAGGGACTGAAGGAGCTAAGGGAACAGCTCTGTGCAGTCTATTCCAAAGCAGGCTGATAGAGGGGAAATTCACCCATCTGTCTGTTAGTCCTGTACTTCTTGACAGTAATTAATCCAATGTGGGAAAAAGTGAGCTTTTAATCTGCAGAAATATGGCATTCAATTCATTACAAAACAAGCACATCGAAATGGTCCATTCCCATGGTCAGTGCTGTAAGGTCTATCAACTTTTGTACTGACAAGAGAGCTTTTTTTATTGTTACTGGACCAGAAAAATCATCACAGAGTAATCACAGACAAATTCTAGAGTTTCTTATCTCCTCTTACCTTCTCAGCTGGCGTTGTACCCACTGAAATCAGTGCAAGGCTGAATTGGGACTACATACACAAATCATCTCAGAAGGAAAAACTACCCTGTCCTCCGAGCCACATTTTAGGTTTGGGGAAAAACAGGATTAATTTCATACTCTGTAATCAGAGCTTCAGCCAAAAGCAAGATCTGTTATTAAAATCACAATCCTCAACAACTACTTATTCACATACACCCACAAAACCGAAATATAAAGTTTCGAGGGGCAAACAACCAGACAGGACTCAGAATAGGCTTTGCTTTAGAAGTACAACAGTAAAAATGTTCCACTTTTTCTAAAGTTATAAAAAAAAAACAACAAAAAAAAAGGGTCTGGCTCCAGAGAAGTAAGTGACACTGAGCCCTCCAACTTCAGTTCGGATGTATGGGGTCATGACAGGAATCAAGTCTGGTGGGCAGCTGTACAGGGAACCCTCCCCTTACAGGGAAGGAGAGAAAAACAATGTGGGAGAAGAGCTGTAGGACTGCTCATCTATCCAGGTAATGCTGCTCCACAACAAACAGATTTTAAATAATGCAATAAAAATGACTTCTCTCTTCTACAACCACATCCACGTTTGGCCAGGAAGCCATTCCAAATTGGACAGTCCTATGCTGAACTACTAACCATGTGGAACAAAACCGGTGTTTTCTCTGCCATGGGCTGCTTTCCAGTAACTGACTGATGAGGCTGCAATCTCTCCAGCTGCTCCTGGAATCTGTGTCTCCTGTGTTTCTCTTTCATCTGTTCTTCCTTTTGAGATAGTTCTATCTTACTTTCTTCTGTCCTGAAAAATATACACATTCTTTTTTTGCTTTGACTTTTTACTTGGGAGAAAAGACATCCTTGTTCATCTGTTTGCATTTCTTATTCTCATGTTTATACCATACACTTGAGGGTGGATCATGACGTGGAAGGCTAAAATAGATTTAGAAAGCACTTATGGTGTTTGTGGGGGACACAGGAACTTGTCATTGGGTGAGATCATCTCTCTCTGAAATAACAAAGAAGAGGAGCAGACCTCAAATTTCTGATAAGCGATGACAATCTGTTTGGAGACTGAAACATGCCATTTAGCAGAGGCTTGTTTGAGATTTCATTCCCTGTCCCCACACCAAAATACTCAGCCTTCCAGCCATTTCCTTTCCTATCTGCTATAATAGCGGCAAGTTTCCCCTGAAGCAAGACCTTCCATCTTTCTATATTTTGAGCAAGATTTCATCTGCCATTTCCACAGCAAAGATGAAGTTCAATTTCTTCACAATACTTCAAGCCCCAGGTGACTCCACAATTAGAATAGCAAGAAAGGAAACTGAAATATGTTAAAATCAATGTGAGCTATTATTCAGCAACAACAATAACTCAGATTCTTGCCAAGCTGCAGTCTGCCACCTATGCAGCAGGCTAACAGGTAGACAAAATGGAGTTTTTATAGAACTGATGGAAGCAGTGAGTTTTAGTATCAGGAGCTCCTTGAAGGAATAACCCACAACCAACTATCTGCCATTTAAAACGAGTACATGCCAGCTAAAATGTTTAAGTGATAGGGTAGACAACTGAAAAAGTAATAGTCTCTGGAGCAGGCAGATCCTCATTTTTTCCAAGGGCTCATATGTCAAAGTCAAAATGTTAAATTTCACCCTGAAAATAGTAGGCAGAATATAGCTTTTGAAAAGTCAGTATAATGGAGATCTCCCAAACAGATGGGCAGGTGCATAAGGTGGCCACCTGATTTCACTTTAAAATTAGATCTTACACAGAATACACTTCATTAAGCCCAAGGAGGCAGAAGCCCAAGTAACTGGAGAAAACTCTCCACTTTCCTCAATTGTTACCATTGTTATTTCTCTCTTTTAGCTTTCCAAGGGACTCCTGTGGTAAAAACAGAACCTCATGGTTATACTTTGCCCCACTGAGCTCTTGCTCTTTTCTCGATGACAGAGTGAGAATTGCTTTGTTCAGGGAAAATTAAAAAAAAGTTACAGGAATGAATTAGATTATAACTCTCCCAATATTGGTGCAGGGAGACAGACCCTTCCTGACTTATTTTCTATGATACTATGCATAGTAAGTTTCAGTTTTGTTCTTCATAAAGGTGATCAATACTGTTACCCTCCTACCTATAATCAAGACTAAAGAAAACATCTAAATTTACCATGTCAGAAGTGCCACAGTAAGCCATGTCTAATCCTAGGCCAATTCTCTGATCTACTGAGTCTGGCAGCCTCTAAAATGTTAAGCAACAGCTGCCAAGTTCGGCCATCTTTCTAGGTAAGAAAACCAGATGCATCCTTTTGCTCCAACTTACATACCAGATAAGCCATGTTGTTTAGTCTTACGCAATTAGATAAGCCCTAATCAAAACCACTGGTGACTTTTCTTGTGCGATACCTTGGCAATTCTGTTGCGGGTAGAGGAGACTCTGGAACGTTTCCTGAATGTTGAACGTTCTCAGCTTCTACTTTGCTTTTTCTTTCTATGTCAGCTCCATTGCTCCCCTGACTTGACAAGGGGACATTTATTTTCTCTGGTTGCAGTCTCAGTTTCCTGGAAATCACCTTTGTTGTCTCTTCTCTCAGTTTACAATATTGTTTTTGACTGAGTTTAGAGGCACCCATCTCTTCCAGGCTTTCTGGATCTTGTTTTGTGCCTCTGAGTCTTTCAGCTGGGGTAGGTGCATCATGAAGAAGCTCTGAGGCTTCTTTACGGGCTGTACGGAGTTGTTGCAGTAGCAAGCTTTTCCCTGAGCAATTCCTCCTGCAGAGGAATAAAAAACAATAATGATTAAATCAAGATAAAGCATTACATGAATAAATTTATGCTCTGAACAACTTCCCATGAGTAACAGCTCAAAACAAAGACTGGACATCTACACAGATTAATGGCTGTTGCTAAAAGCAGAACCAGCATACAGGTAACACCACAGTGACAGAATGTGAATCCAGTCTTACTAGGTATTTCTTACCTCTCCTGGATTTCAGGCAGAAGAGACAACTAACTACTAGAAGAGCCCTGAATAATTGTAATGTTGGCATGGAAATAAGGTCTGCAGATTTTTGTCTTCTTTGGATATGGGTACTGGGACTCAAATACAGAGAGGAAGAGTTCTGATAACTTAGGATTTTTACGTGTTTAGCTTCATTTCACCTATGCCTCCACCAAGTTACTGTGACTGCTGTATTGTCAGCAGTACAGTATTTTGATTGTATTCTGCAGTGAAATGTCCTCTCATGACATCGTAAGCAGATACGGTTATTTTGTCTTGCAGTTCCATTCAGTGATGAAGCTCCCAGGTTATGTGCTACAGGAAGACTGTCATCTATTTGTAGCAAATATACCTTGTTTTAGTAGTAGCTGAACAGCACATGGATTAAGTGACGGATTGCTCCAGTTGGATATTAATGTTGCAGTTAGGTGATGTGTCTGAGTACATAGCATCATAGTGCTCTACTAATCCCAACTAAACGTGCTTCTTGGAACAAAGAAAATCCAGATGGAGAGTATTCTTCCTCCTCCTTAAGGATTTCACTTCTCCTGCCATCACAGCAACCAATCCAGAACCACTAGATCAACATTTACATTGACAGCTGTGATGCTAAGGAGCATGCTTAAGTAGTGTGAGCATGTTAACACCTTCCCCACTGGATACCCAGGTCACAGCACCAAGCCTGCTGGAGTTCAAGAAGCGTTTGGACAATGCTCTCAGATATGACTTCATTTTTGGGTGGTCCTGTGTAAGGCAGGAGTTGGACTCAGTGATCTTTGTGGGTCCCTTCCAACTCAGGGTATTCGATGATTCTGGACTGTACAATACTCAACATTTACAAGATGAGCGACTCGGACTCTAGGCTGTGACAATAGACCCCATCTACACAGATGTGGGCTCCTGATGATTACTTTCCTAACTTTTTTTTTCCTGAGCAGTGTGTCTAGAAGAATGTTCTGAAACAGTCAGAGCTGCAGGATAACACTGACCTCAGGCAAAGAGTTAGAGCCCTTAGAGCTTCGTCAGAGTAAGTCAAACAAGAATGGAACAGGTGAGACAAAGAATGGTTTGTCTCAAACAAGTCTCTGAGAGTTATTGACCTTTGTCTCTGGTATGATTAAATGGAGAACCAAACTGGTATTGTGTTCTTCTGTAGTATACTCAGAAAATAAAGTAGGACTTCTAGGAGAAGGGCATATACTGGAGAACAGCCTTATAGTATAGTGCTAGCGATGGCACTGAACAGATGGCACTGAACTATCTGACCACTCTGGCAATAAACCAGAGTATTTTCCATGCTAAGGAAGTGCCTGGAGATCTTAAGACTATAAGACTATCCCTCCAAGGCCTTAACATGTAGGTATATTGCGCTACGGCATACATTGCCCTATTTAATAACTCCATCCAGATAAGTGATAATAGCACTGAACCCATGCGAATGATGAGATCGGGATCTTGCGCTGCTGAGACCATGAGGCTTTCTTACTTAGAAACAGAACTGAATAATGTTTGCCATGTTTCATTGGTGTATTTACTTTAACACCATTAAAACAAATCAAAATCTACTCAGCTAAGCTGTTCTCCATCACACCAGATTTTCACTGATGCAACTTCTGCATTTGCCTCAATGACAGCGAGAGTTCCCCAAGCATCATCTCATCCCCATTTTCTGATGGTTTTGGATTAGATGTCGTAAGTTACGCTGAGTATTCAGCTCTGTTCCTTGCCAAGTCATTTATTCTATTAAAAAAAAAAAAAGAGTAAGAATAATTGGCTGGCACAACAATGCAAAGTGTTCTGCCTGTCCTCTCTGCTGCTGTAACGTGAACTTACATGCATCAGGTTTCTAAATGTAATACAGAAGATAAATACAGTAAGATGTTTAAAACTTGACATACCTGTTTCACATTTAATGTATGTCTAAAAACCTATGGGTATGAATCAAGCCCTAAGTTTAGTAACAGGAAAAGGCTGACATCTGTGCCTATTGAAGAATCTCCGTTTTAGGATTCCATGACTATATATACACACACACACACATATCTAAACAATTAAGGAGAACTGTGAGCATCTGTGCCCACATAACATATTCAATATTCTCTCGAAGTCAACATGCATTCTAGCCTATTTTATTACTGCTAAAAATAAAGGCTTGTCTGAGTCAATTTGCTGTAACATTTTCAAAGTTTGGTTCCAAGTCATTTAAAAGCAGTTCTCATGTCACTTAAACGTGTCTGCAGAACGAGTCAGGTTTCCCAGCCACCCATGTCTACTCTGTCTTTTATGCTACTGCCACACAGCTGTAAAGTAGCACGGTGCTATACCATCTCACTCCAAGCAGTTTCTAACTTCACTATCTTTACCATGCAACAGAGATCTGGGTCCAGACTGAAACACTTTCGTTATTAGGTTGGGCACTTTTGCTGTGAAAACCAGGAATGGAGATATTTCAGTATGTGAGCTCTCACTCTAATCACTCTTAGGGGAATTATTTTAATTTTGTAACACTTGAATTAGGGTCAAGGTAAAGAATCTTACATCCTCCTTTCTGTTTGGTCCTTAATTGTCACAGTCTCTTCTTCTTCTTCTTCAGTGGAGCTGTCACCTGCACTATGAAATAAGTTAGATACTCTTACTTGACTTTATTCAAACTGTGTGTTAGATTTCACTCAATTCTAAGATGCAAATTTAGAACCATTAGGAAAAACAGGAGACACTTCTGGGGCTGATCTTTAGGTCTTATGGATAGCTCTTCACACTATTACTCCAGCAAGGCAAAAAAAAAAGCAAACAACACCCAAGCAATTCTAGATCATAATGTGTTAGCTGCACTCTGCTCCTTATTAAGGAGTCTTCTTGTGGTGACTGTTTTTTTCAGTCTCTTGCTGCAGTAAGTAGGCATCTTGAGAAGGAAGCAAAGAGCTTCCTCAGACACCATTATTTCTGAAGAAAGGACACATCTGCCACAATCTGTTGCAGACTGAGAAGAATTGGGCCTCCTATAGTCTATATAGAGCCCTCTTATCACACAGGAGGCTGAGAAATCATCATCTACAGTTGCTTGCCAGGAATGTAGTCAAGGAAGTCCATTTCATACACAGTGCTGTCAAATGCTAGCCCAATTCTAACAGACAGCTGCAAGCATTGCTTTGCAATCACTGCCCACTCCTTCATAGATGGAAAACTTTCTAAATGTTATTCCAGGGATGATTTGCATGTCCTTTCTGGACTGCCTGCATCCCTGCACCTTTACATGTTCTGAGGCAAGTTATTCTCTCCTCAAAATACTTTCATGCTCAGCTATGGGCTGTGCCTTCCTATTAAGGTCACAGAGGTGTGTAAGAAGAGAAAACTTTAAAAGTTTATTTCACAAATGTGAGACACAGAGAGAAGGTTTCTTCCGACTTCCCACTTTGGTACTGACCTCTAACAATAAAGCCAGAATTTACCTTTGGTTCTCATCATGGAACGTTACTGACTTCTGTGGTTTAGCATCTCTTAAATCAATGTACACAGTTTGAGGCTCTGGCAGGCAGGGTAATCTCATCGTGTCCATCCTTGGAGAACTTGGTAAAGATGACATGAAGGCAACATCCCTAAGTACAGAAAGCATATATATTTTTTTAAACACATCCTCTCCCTTATCCTGAGGAGAAATCCTTCAGGGCACAGATTACGATTGAAACTGGACTGTGAAAGAAGCTTTGTGCTTGGCTACCACACCAATTCAAACTCTTTTGCCTGCTATCCACCACCTTCTGGAGCTCAACTCAAAGATTCAGCTGCCCACCAGGAATACAGGTCACAGGCAGCATAATGAGGGATATTAAGTTCTTAAAAACTGATGTTGTCAAATTGTTCTGTAGAACAAAGAGAGGCAGTTACTGTACCCAATAACTTACAAGATCCCAGTGTCAACCAGCAAAAACAGGCCCCTCTGCCTCCTGTGGCAAGTCCATTTTATCCTTCAGAGCATACAAAGTACAAGTCATCATCATGGCTCTTCCTGCTCTGCCAGCAAGGAGACTTTTAGCAACATCAGTATTTAAATTAGTATTTTAGCTAAACCAGGACCAGTAAGAGAAACTGCAAGCCTTAGAATTAACCCAAATGACAAAAAAAAAAAAAAAACAAAACCAAAAACAAAAAAACACATGGCCATGATCATTTGCTCAGCCTTGTTCCTCTTCGTTTCCCATTCATTTCAAGTCTGGCAAGATCTAAACAGAACTGGTAGAGAAAGCTCAGGTGGCAGGATACTGCCTGTTAGTTATCAAACGTACATGAATGACTGAGTCTTTGTCTTTTAACGCCACTACAACATATTCCAACAACAACACAAGCTTTCTGCAGAGGCTAGAGAGAAAAGCACCTAGAGAACACCGTGAGTTTCCAAGCGTCTCTACCACCAATTGCAGCTACCTACTGTACATGAGGATTGGAACAAAGGACCTACTTCTTATTCTCTTGCTCTTCTTGAGAGGAGATCTGGGTTGATGGCCTCCTGCGGCATGGCGACATTGTCCTGGACTGCCTGCCACACAGCTCTGCTAGTTTTTCCATGAGCTGATGTTCAGATCTACACCTGAAGATCTCTATGAGACAACAACGAAAATCACCGTTTGTGGTATATTGGGTGATCCAGTGGCAGAAGACCCTTTCCCCGTTATAATAGCACACCTTTCTCTACAGCCTGTCAGAACAAGAAGGATAAAAATACTGTTGATGTAAATCACCTCTCACTAAATTCACTCCAAAACTTTATCTGTCTTGCCTCTGATTCACTCTTAGGCTATGACAGGCCACAAAGCACTTTTTGCAAGCTACAAAAGCAAGACAGAATCTTAAGGGAAGCAAATCAGTTAAAAAATAATACATTTTAAAGAGGCAGTCAAAAGGCTACCATGGTTTCAACATTCAAGAAGATGCTGCAGGAATGATTTGACCATATGAAGCTGAGTTTTCTTTATTTTTATATGTTTTCAGCAAAGTTGGTATTAATTTAGCAGTATTACCATGATCTGTTGAAGAGAAGGCAAATTCTGCATGAGTGTTATCTTGCTGCTGCTTCTGCTCCTCAAGAATCTTGTCTAGATCCCATTTCTCAATGTTCTAAAAGAAGAGAACCAAACTGTGATGGAAAATTCACCACCAAAAGATTGCTGCTAAATAAGAGTTCCTTTGACTCACACACTTTATGGTAACTCCAGCTGATTCTTCTGCCCTACATAAACACAGAAGTGACACAGAATTTTACCTTACTTATCCTGAGCACTGCACCACTGTCACCTGCTAGTACATGAACTGCTGGGTCACTCTGGATAAAGCTGCTTAAACACGAGCCTCAAAAATTGGCATGACTGACAAAGGGATATGTACTGCTTGAACAGGGCTTTTTTCTGTTATTGGCAAGGCTCTGCGTAGGCAAGCACAATATAATTACTAAAAGAACTGTTCCGAATGAACTGATGCTCATTCAAATATAACACAGGTGGAGAACCTTCTCCTTCCCCACCTGAAAAAAACTGCCATGTCTAGAAGATGTTTCCGTAATGGACTGAATTGACAGCTCTTTAAAGGAAAAAATGGAAGCCCACCTTAAATATTCACCTGACTCTTCCCTCCATATACTGGGACATACCTTATATCTTCCAGATGGCCTAGCCTTCCACATGTACTCACATGCAGGGGGAGTCTTTTCAACAGCATGTATGCCCCTGCATCCCTCAAAGCCACCAGCAGGACCAGATCCCTGTGGTTTATTTTCCTCTGTCCACCCTCCAAGTACTATTTTCCTCTCCCTTTCACCATCTTAGAAAGATGAAGTCCCTGACACTCCCCCTAACTTGCTTTGTTAAACAGATCCACAGAGAAGTGCTGTAAAGAACAGGATGTGTTTATCTCTTTGGATACTGCTTCTATTCAGCTGCCTTATATCCACATCCATTGAGGCTTCTTCTCTGAGAATCACGAGTGCCTTTGATACAGACTCTAGAAAACCACTGTAGATAGTGAAACAGGCTAAAAGATGGTCTGACACAAGGCCAGTCAGCATCAGCTGGGATCTCACAGCTGCTTATCCCAAACTGAAGACAGGATCATCAATTTTGTTAGCTCAAATCACATGTACACTGGCTGAAGATACGCTCACTGTGCACACCACCCATTTAGGTATGAGAACCAGTCTGTGATGACAAAGGCTCCCAGGCATTTCAGACACTGCCTGCTTTCCCCTCCAAATATTTAATGTGAAGTTTCATTTAAAATAAGATATGCACATCTAGTCTGAAGCACCAGAACTTAAAAGTATTTATATATATTTTTTAATTGTCATAATAGCTGATTTCTTTTTGTCACAACTAGAATGAACGTGTTTTGTGTGACTGTTTATGGACTTTAGAGAAGCAAAATCAGCCTTGAAAACAGCTTCACCTTGTAAAAACCTCAGTCATTTGCCCCTCCCAATCAAGAGGCGATTCTCACTCTTTCCAGAGCAATAAATCTTTATGCATAGCTGAACCATGATCAGATCTATTCTAATATTACAGGCCACGGCATATGCGATGTTGAAGGCTGATGGTAGCCACAAGCTGAAGTCTCTCACATCGCCATAAGCTAATCTTGGTTCAACAACATCATTGAGATGTATTGGTCTGGAAGAGCGAGTGACTGACAGCTGAGCTCGCTACAAAGAGAACCACATCACGGTTCAGTACAGGTGCTGTTTTACCAGACAGCCTGGAGGGAAAGACCATGCGTGCTTTTATGCTATGATGCAACTGATACTCAACTTTTTCAACAGTACTGCTTGAATATCAACTATTATAATAAAAAGACCAAATTATCATGTAACTTGCAGTAGTAAGTCTTTATCCTCCTAAGCTTTAATAGGAATGAGACTATCGTAAGGTATTGCAAGGGTACAGAAGAGTAAGAAATGAAGATCTACAGGATTAAATTTAAAAACACAGAGAGGGACTTAAATATTCATTAAGGAAGAAAAAAATGTTTCTCAAGTGAACTAATATAATTTCTTCTGATTCCAAACATATTAGTTTTAACAATTTTAATTGACAAATTGAGGTACCTTGCTGAGCTGGGAAGTAGCAATCTGATTTCAAATCTAAACATATACGCCATGCATGCAAAGGATGCAGCTTTGCCCTCACTGTTGTGAAGTGAGAATACACCAAGCCTGGTCTCAGAACACACACAAAAGCATCAGGTGTCAGTTCACTACAGTCAGTGATACCAAACATGTTCTAAAGGCAAAACCACACCTCTCCAAGTAACAGAGCAACTGACTTGCGCTAAGTGAGTTGGGAATTAAACCTAGAACCACTTGAAAAATAAAAACCCCTCCAATAATGGCATGATTAAATGGTTCAGCACAATGCAAAAAGAAAGGCAAGCACTGTCACTCTTTGCCTGTACTAGCAGAGCTCCAACATCAAGAAGCTATGTTTGTTTGTTTTTTTTTTATTTTTAAGAGTGAAGATCTCAGGAACACTGACTGCTCTCTTCTCACCTCCAGCATTACTACACTGCTGCAAAAGAGACAAGATACTGGAAAAACAGAAAGCTCACTGTTTTAACAGAAAGCCTGCAAACAGAAGAGATCCCTTACCTTCCCAGGGACTGCTGCAGTGGCTGGTGTTCCTGAATGAGAGCTCAAACCATGCCACTGACCAGCAACTTTTGCTACCATTACAGACTGTCAATGGCAGCTCCACAAGACAAAGAGAAGCTTCTTAGCAGTTTGTATCTCATACGACCCAACAAAATTCAAATTCGGGACAACAAAGAAAAATGCTGTGGCATGTGCAGAATTCAGAATTTTGGTTCTGTATTTTAGTAAGATTATGCAAGCAATGCCCTAGCCCTTCTACCTCACGAACAGCACTCTAAAACCATTTGTTTGGGCTGCTCACCTGCGAGGACAGATGGGTTTGTTCTTGAAGGTGGCCAGCTGTGGAAGTTTCTTCCTTAACTCTTCTTTCTAGACTGTCGCTCATGCCATGGGAAGGAGGCTTGACATTTAGCTCTGGCTGGCCTGGTGATGGCTCTAGATATATTTTTGAGAGTATCTTTGTCTTTATCAGCTTTCTCCTTTCTTTTTTATTGCCCAGCTCTTCCACTAATGATGCTGTATTAAGCCAAGAGTTCACTCTTTCCTTGGCCTGTTGCCTGCCCAGCTCTTGCTCTTCAAGTCCATCTGTGGAATCTGCAAGAGGTTCTTCAGAAAAAACAGCTCCCTTTTGGCCTGGAATTTCTTCAGCATGGCTGGCAAGACTGGAAGTCTCATCTTTAATCACCAGTACATGTTCTCTTGCACTAACTTGGGCACCATCTGTTTTTTTCTGAAAGCCAAAACTTTTCAGATCTCCATTCCAGATCTCCCATGGATATCTTCCTGTTTCCTTCACTTGCTACAGGTAGAGAAAATACACACATGCACAAAGTCACATCTCCCCGAGCTATAGAAGCTGACAATAAACCAAAACAAAGTGACTGGCAGATACCAGCTCCAACTCAGACACCATCTGCTAGCAGCACACACCACGTCCATCACAGAAAACAGTAAGACTGTTTACTTTGCAAAGACTATAGCTTCAGGATGTGCTAAGCGCCCTTGAAATTAATTTGCCTTACATCTGCTCATTACACGCCACTTCTTACACTGAGATAAATGAATGGGGATAAAGCAGTGCAGTAAGTTAGTTCTTCCAGGACAAAATAAGGCCAGGTGGCTCCTCTCCCAGCTTCTTATGACACCTAGTCTTCATCAGTGCAGATGCGGTGTAATCATTTTAACTCAGAATACTGGTACAAGGGCTCAACTCCCTACTCACCCTCCTTAGTACACTGCCAATAGGAATTCTGCTTTTTCTAGGTATGTAAAATGGTGGCTGAAACTATTTCAAGCTGTCTAAAACTTAGAAGCCATTGCACAGCACTACTGTTAACACACAGCTGTGCTGTGGCTTCAGCTGAGCTGCAGGTAACATTCCAGTACTGAGCTTCTTATAGAGAGGTCCACAGACTCAGTGAGCAGCATCGCCTGCCTTAAGGGCTCTGTGTTATTGCCAACCCACGAATACTTGTGTGGTCTTTCTGACTAGAAACTGGGCACCTGTTCTCACATGACAAACTGTGCCTTCCCACTCCATATGCACCATCATGCGCATTAACTACAACAAAATTCATTAGATTTAGAAGAGACTGAAGGGTTTCTTGAGACAGGCTAGTACTTAACAAAGAAAAGGTGGGACACACATCACTAGGATCTAAGGTGTGCCACAGTCTTAAAAAAGGTAAAAGGAAAATATCAAAAACAAGATGATGGGACCAAAAAAAAGTCTGAAAGCACACAAGCAGAGAAAGCTTAAAAGGGTCACTATATATAGAAAAAAAAAGACCTAATTTCCGACGGGAGAAGGTACTGGGGACTATTTTCTTCTGTCATGCTATTCAGCCAAATAGGTCAGATAACAGCAGCTGCCTGCACTGTAGAGGAGCCGAAGAGGGGGTCGTGGTAATACAACCTGCTCACAACAGCCAACAACCTGTGTGTCAGCGTCTTCCAGGGAGAACTCCAGCAATTCTTCTGACAGGTCAGGAATTAAGTTGGGATGCTCTCGATGGAAGATAAAAAGCTCCTCATCACTCTCACAATCAGACTGTCAACAGAGAAGAAAAGTTAAATAGAAGATTAAACTTCATTTAAATGCTTGTTTTGTGGTAACAAATTCTATGTTGTCACCACCCAGCTGAAGTTCAGAAACCACCATTTTCTCCTCAATCACATCTCTATTAGACAGCCTGACACTCAGCAACCTAGACTGTCTTAAAATAGCCTAATATTTGAGCAAGCTACAGTAGTAAAAAACAGGTAAAACATTGAATTGCCCCAGAGCGTGATAACTAATGCTCCTCTGAGCGAAGTAATGAAAGGGGTGTGCAAGCCCTGAAGATCCTAAATGATTCTTTGTACTGCCTTACTTACCCCTTGGGAAGCAGCAAGAGCAGAGCTGCTCCCTAAAGGAGGATCAGGCAGAAACATAAGTGCCTCACCAGCTAGGACTCAGAACCACAGTACCTAAGAGGAATGAGCAAGACAGGCCAGAAGCAGTGGGCACGTGGAGCTAAGAACCCATGCTATAAGGTCAGACTGCAGTGAGGATGTATGCCTGAGGCTAAGTGAAAAATCAATTCACGGGTCAAAGCCTAGATCAAGGCAGATCTCTGGCTGAAGACCAGCACTCCTCTAACAGAGCCCATACTGAAAGCAAAGGCCCAGGGCTGAGTTTAAATAGAGCTGCTGGGCCAGTGGGTGTGGGTGGAAGCTCCAGGTGAGGCTGGTTAGGGCCATAAAGGCTTGTTATTGCACTCAAGGCTCTGATATTCACTGTTCAGAATGTAAATCACTATCTATACTTGGTTGGACAGAGCTTAAATAGTTTTAAAAATCTCTTTTCTGAACGTAAAATGCATGTTTGACATGGATTCTTACGCACAGACAACAGAGAGAATAAGCAGCTTTCCTGCAGTTAGGACCCTGGCTTCCTGCTTGTCTCATTGTTTTGCAAGTGTCTATTTTCACTAAGCCACATTGTGGAGAACTCTCTCTGGCAAAATTAATTTTTCCTAATGTAGACGAAAGTACAACGTAACTTCTTTCCCCTTAATAAAATGCATATGAAGGTAATGAAAGTACTGCAGGGCAAAAGACGCTATTTGTCAGTGCCACTTGCGATGCAGGAGCACAGCCCGCTGAGGTTACAGATCCCAGACGCACAAATGCATCTTCCCGCAAGTGGAAACCACTGGGCAAAGGTGCAGCAGGGAAACCACAGGCTCAGCAGGCTACTGGTTTACATTAAGCAGGAGAGGGATTGTACAAGCAGATCCGTTGAATGTAAATTAAGGGTAGTATGTAAATGCCAAATAGACTGCAGCAGTTCCTGCAGCAGGAAATTTGTTCCACATGTGATAGAAACAAAGGATTTGGAGATTTTTTATGAGTAAAAAAATGGTCAATGTGATTTATAGATTGGTATTTAGCATAAAAATACAAAGCTATCTCTCTGCCATAGCTTTATTGCACACTTATAGAACAAGAATGACTAGAAATCATTCCTGAGTGTTGACGTTTAATCTGTACTGCATAGACACGCCTGAAAATGCAACAGTTGCTTTAAATAACTAACCCAGGATGTAGGTAGGGAGGAACTGGGAAACAGTAAGGCCATATAACTTGTCCAACACCTATGTTCCTGATAGAGCCAGGTGCAGAAGACAGGTCATGGAACCTGTGTCTCCTCTTTATCCACTCCATCACACTGTTTCTCATCACCGATTATTAATAGGCAATAAATAGCCCATGAAGGCACTTCTGACTCCTTCATGGCTCACAAGACACCCTCTGTATCATTAAGGGGCATGCTAAGTTGGAATAAAACTCCTAAATAAATTTCCTGAAGAGTTCAAAACCATTTTTTCACAGTTACATGCTTGACAATTAACAAAATATTTTGATTTGGACCTAAGGCCACTAATAATCAAGTCTTGAGACCCACTATCACCTCGGAAAAGTCAATGCAGGTACAACTGAAGAACAGAAATCAATGTGGCTTTGTGAGAATTACAGGCAGGGAAAAAAAGTAGAATCCAGGAATCAAATACCAGACAAATGCTTCTTCCGGGGGACCACAAAGGCTTCAGAAGCATGTCTTTCCTGTGATTCTCATACATAGAAAAACTTTCTGTATGGGCCCACTGCCTGGCCAGTACATTATTAGAACGAGGAGCCCAATACTCTCAAGGATAAAACCTTAGCATTTCATCTTGGATCAGCTGTATGATTCTTTCATCCTGTGTTCTTGACTGAACAAACTAAGCAGAAATGTGGGGTCATTCTGCAAGGTGTCTGCTACCCACCTCTTCCCAACCTAGCAATATCAGCATCTGGAGAAATCAGTCCCACTCTGAGGTTCTGAAGAACACAGTGAGGCAAGACAGCAATTACACTGACAGTTAGAGGTAACGCTGTGGGTTAATGCACACCGTAACGATACTCAGAATGCACAAGTACACCATCAAGGATAACATACTAGCTATTCAGAAATGGCTGGCAAAGATGACCTTGATTTTGAGATTTTTTTTCTAAAAGACAGTGAGAAAGGTAGGCAGGTTCCAGTGCTTACTGTGGAAGTGTCAGAGTCCAGAGATGGGAGCTGATCTTTCACTGCAGCAAGTATAGCTCCCCACTGCAAGGCTCTGTTACTCTGAACAGGGGCTGTAGGAGGCTCAGGTGGATGCTCTGTATCCTCACTTTGCCCTTCTGAGGCCATTAGAACAGCTTCCCTTCAATCAAATGAAAGATGAACTTAAGTACACCACAGGAAAGAAAGCAAGGGAACAACAGAACAGAGCAAGAACAAAGTGTGTGCATTCAGTGTCGGCAGAATTCTCAGCTCTCCCAGGGTTTTCACGGTCAGCAGTGAACATTAAGATCTGCATTCCTGGACTCGCTCTTTCCCACCTTAGCTCACAGCGCTCAGAGCTTTCTTCCCCACTCCCCATATATATGCACAACTGGGGACTCGCCAAGGCCATTTTAGCCCCTCATTTATAAAGAATTCCCAGGATTGTTAGCTGCACTGGCTTGTCATTGTGTTCTTAGGAAAGCCTGTTCTCACCGCCTGCACTGGGAGGGAGGACAAGACCCACACCTCTGCTCTCAGCTGGTCTTTACTCCTCTTTCCCGTTTCCCCTCATGTTCCCCTCCTCACTGATCCAACAATAGATAAATGATTTACGCTTGCTTTTTGCCATTGGATTTGTACAAAAATAGTTGAGAACAGGCACGCTCTTGGATTTTGACCTCTTAGAGGATTTTTAAAGCAGACTCCTTCCTTGTGTTTTCCTTGATGCACAAGAGGAATCAAGGGACTACTGCTGTGCTAGCAAGTTGAATAATTAACCCTCACGGAAAACCTTTGCTTTTTAAGTTTTTATGCCAAAATTGCATGGCTTCTTGGGGAATCAAAAGCAGGAATAAATCAGTACTGTTTGGCGAGAAAGGTTAAGAGGTTTGTGACTGTATGTTCCTCAGCACAGAACTAACTGTCCAGAGGATTAGAGTGTTATTTGCATTGGCATGGACTGAGAGCTCCTCTGAGCCCATCTTGTGCCCTGGCAAGTTTACAGCTCACAAAAGGCCACAGCAACTGCTTTATGTGCCCCTCTCACACAGTGTTTGTAAGCCTACGCTGGGATCTGATTTATGTAGAGGGGGAGAAGTCACCGAGGCTGGAGCACTGCGTTCTGGCAGCGAGCAGGAGCTCGCTACGAGGACGGGGCTAACACCAAACCGCCCACCACAGGCTCCCTGGAGGCACAAGGCCGCCTTCCCAAAACGAAGGGCTCTGGACCTGGCTCCTCAGCTGTCAGCACAGCGTCCTCCGGGGGGTGGGGAGGGGGGCCGAGCCCTGCTGTGGGCACAGAACAGCCGCGGCCTCCTGAGGAGGCGCCCCCCGAGCCCCCCGCCCGCCGCCACAGCCGACATTTTCTGTCACGCCCGCCTCGGCCGTTGGGGGCTCGACCGCAGCCGGCGGCTGGAAACGCGGCGCGGGGCGGCGCTCCCGGCCACGGGGCACGACAAAGAACCGGCAGGAGCCGAACCGAGCCCCCAGCACCTCCACACGGCGCTGAGGGGACCGGGGCAAAGCGGGGCCGCCTCAGGCGCCCAGCGGCCAAGATGGCGCCGGGGCGGCCCCGCCCCCCCCTCATCTCCATGGCAACGCGGCCCGCAGCGCCCGCGCGGCCCCTCCCCTCCCGGCAGCGGCCCCGCCGCCCTCCCCCGCCACCGGCCTCGGCCCCAGGGGGTCCCGGCAGGGGGCGAGGCGCGGGGGGCGTCGCTCGTGAGGCGGGAGGGCGGCCCCGGGGTCCCCGGCAGCGCCGCGTCAACCCCGCGCCTGCCTCGCCGCCGCCGCCGCCGCCTCCCTCAACGCCCGCCGAACCGCCCGCCCTTCCGCGGGGCTCGAAGCCCATTGGTGCTCGCCGCGCCGCCCCCTTCAGAGCGCCGCCTCCTATTGGCTCTTTACCCGAAAGGGGGCGGGGCTTGGCTCTGCCGCCGCGGGGGCTCTTGGGGGTTGTAGTCCCGAGGCGCTGCTTCCCGGCAGCCTCGGCGCTGGCTTCCGGCAGCGGCGCCTCACCGGGCAGGCAGGTGAGGGGTGGCGGGGCCGGGGCAGGGGGGGTCCGGCCGGGGCTCGGCCTCTCCCCGGGGGCTTCTCCGGTTGCTGGCCGCCCGGAGCGGGGCCGGGCCCTGTGGCAGCCCCCGGGCCGCTTCCCCCCGCCGGTGGGGCAGGCCCGGGCCGCCCTGCTCGGGGCCTGGCCGAGGGGACCGGGGGCGGCGGGGCTGGGCCCTCTGCGAGGCGGTGGCAATTTCCATAATAACTTTAACAAGGTTTCAGTTTAGTCTGGGGTGAAACTTTTGCCTTTTTTTAAACTCTCAGGGTGTAGTCAGAGCAGAGTCAGGGTGGTAGGAAGGAGCTTGGGAGCCCTGAATATCCTGGAGCCAGGCGGTAGGTACAGCCTTCCAGTTGTGTCAGTGCTGCCCTGACATCTTGCTGAAGTTGTGTTTGTAACTTGTAACTGGCACAGGGCAGGTTCTGGTAAAGGCTAAACACCTGGGTGTTATGGTAAATATTTCCAATTAAGGAGGGGGTCTGCAGAGAGAGCAGTGAGCTGTGTTTTCACCTGAACGTGCACGTACAAACTGTCATGGAGTTTAGCTCTTGTTAGCAAACCTGCCTTGTTGCCTTCCAGTGGAAGCTCTGGTTTATTGCAGTGAGAAACGCTCTTACTTTTCCTGCTTATGTTTCACTTATCTGCTTACATATTTGTGTTTTGGTTGTCAGGTGGTCAGGGTGTTTCTGGTTCTTCACTTGTGTTCGGCCCAGCGTGTTCCTGCATGAGGCCCCTGCGTTGTCAGTGTAATAGAAATTGCTGTTATCAGGTGAAATAGGTGATGCCTTGAGAAAGGAATCACACATTACCAACACCTGCTGATTAGAATGGATGGTGCTTTTGTGGTCCTAGCAAGTTAAAGAAGGCAGAAGGGGAAGCAAGATATGGGAGGAATCTCCAGTGGGGGAGAAAAGAGGTCAGAGTTAAAGCTGATTTGCTTATCTTGCAAAGCAAAAGGGCTGGTGCTTGTGAGAAGAGGACTCCTGATTGTTTTCAAAAGCATGTTTATGTTTTCTACTGTTACATCTGAGGCAACATAAAGAACAACTGCTGCTGAAAAACACATCTTGTCTCTCCTTCGTTGATGCCAAATGTGGCACTTGCGTGACCCCCAAATGAATTAGTCTGAGGACTTAAACTGGCAAGAAGCTCTCAAGAAGGAGAGAATGCTTCTCAGTTAGCTCAGCTGCCCAGTGTAGTATGTGGTGGGATCTGGCAAACCCCAGAAGTGCTGTATGGGAGGCAGTGAGACTAGAGGGATGGCAAAGCACTTCCCATTGGGTTGGCTCAGATGTAGCCTGAAACCGCAGCTGAAGACCACAGCTGATAGATGCAGCTGTGTTGAAGAGCTTTTTATGAAGTGCCAAATGAGAATGCTCTCCTGCGAGTAGTTAAAATGATTAATTTGCAATTGCTCCCCGAGGCTAGGGATGGAAAATAAACCTTTCAGACAGTCCTGAAACTGTGCTAGCTTTGTAATTAAGTTACTGTCTGCGGAGTGGTGGGTACAGTCAGATAACAAATGGGCAGGTGCACGGCTGTTCAAAGCGTTTCAGCAATTTCCAAGATTCACAGCAGTAGGACCAGGCTGCTGCTGAAGTGCGGAAACAATCTCCTTATAGCCTGATGACATGACGAAGTGTGCACCTTGTTCAGGTGATCTTAACTACTTTTGAGAGCAGCGGGCACTTGTCAGCATTAATGACCAAATTCTAGTTTAGGCAGGGCCATCCTGTGGTGCAAGACAGATGTTTCTGGTGCTTCTCCTGACACATTGATTCTTAATTATCTCTGAATTATAAAACATGCAGGCCAAGAATTACATCCTTTTGTATAGCACTAAGCATGCTATCAGCACTTAAATAGAAGTTTAATGTCTTCTCTTGATGAAGCTATCCAAAGGTGCCTTAGGCGTGTTTTGATCAGAAGGGGAGGAAATCAAGCCGGTGCTTCTGAAGTCTTTAAAATGAGATTTGAAAGATGTTCTTAGCATTATTGGCTTTTATTTTTCTAGCGTGCTCAAATCCCAGAGTCTACTGCAGCAAGAAAGAACCGCCAGCAGAAACTCCTTGGCAAGTCGTATTGCTTCAGGCTACAGCAGGCTACGAAGGCCATCAGAGTAAAGGTAGGAGCTTGAAACTGTGCCTCTGAGGTGACCGTGCCTCCAAGCCTTGGAGCTTCAGAGCTCCCGGGTGAGGCAGTGCTCGGTGCAGGACAGAGAGCAGCCAGCTTAAAGTTCTGCTTTGCTTTGGTTGCTCAGAGCGGGATGTCGGAGCTGAGTGATGAAGCCAGCGAGTCGGAGCTGCTGAGCCGCAGTCTCTCCATGTGGCATGGGGTCGGACAGATGATCTGTCGGGAAGAACTGGATGTTCCTCTGGACTTGCACACGGCCTCCTCCATCGGCCAGTATGAAGTGGTGCAGGAGTGTATCCAGCGGTAAGGAGGGGCTGGAGAGGGCACAGCTCTCTTCTACTTAGGGACTTTGTTTTTGTTTTTTTTTTTCTCCTCTGGTTGCCATACAGGTCTGCCTAACATTGCAAGAAGGGCACACCATGGAATTCCTGATGTGTTCTTAGGCACACAATTACGGGGGCAATCCTGCTGGTTAAAAATGATCTCTTTGGTGTTTTGGTGGATGTTGTTCCAGAACTGGTAGGAATTCCTATGCAGGCTTCAGTGCTAGATTTTGTGTGTTTTTTTTTCAGCCTTCTTTCAATGTGGTGGTAGTAGCAGAGACTGCTGGAATCTGCTGTGAGCTGTATCTCCAGGCCAGTAGTTCAGCTGAATTCTTTTCTGTTATTTAGTGGAGATCTGGATTTGAATAAGAGGAACTGTGGTGGCTGGACTCCACTGATGTATGCTTCCTACATTGGCCACGACACCATTGTGCACCTGCTGCTGGAAGCAGGAGTGAATGTGAACATCCCGACGCCAGAAGGACAGACACCGCTCATGCTGGCCTCCAGCTGTGGAAATGAAAGTGTTGCTTACTTCCTCCTCCAGGTGTGTATCCTGTAATAAGTCGGTAAAGCTATGCCGCATGGTTTAAATGCACAGGGTAGAATTCTCCATCAGTTGTGACCGAAGCTTGCAATTTGTTCTGTTGAGTCCAGCTTCCTGACAGGGATTTAAACTTTCTTGGTATCACACCACAGAGGGGCAGTGGCTAAGAGACCCAGCAGAGGGGATGCAGTAAAGAACATTCTCTGTTCTCTTGAAGCAAGGCGCAGAGCTGGAGATGAAAGATATTCACGGCTGGACAGCCTTATTTCACTGCACCAGTGCTGGACATCAGCAGATGGTCAAGTTCTTACTCGACAACGGGGCAAACGCCAACTGCAAGTAAGGAGGAATCTATCACTTCTCAAAAGATTTCCTATTTCAGATAGGAGAGCAACAGTTGATGTACGAATGCACTCAGACAGGAAGATGCCTGCTTTTGTCTTCTACCCTGTGCTTTAGGAAGTGTGGTACACTATTAGCTAGTACAAGGACAGGTGACTTGCAGACAGAACAGTGAAGGCTGCCCATGTTGCTATCGCTTATTTAAACAAGTACAAGAGCAATTAGATTTACTAGTGGCTTAATTATGGGATAAACTCCAAAAGAAAACAGGTGCAACTGTTCCTGAACTCAAGTTCAGTTTCTAGTTTTTGGTGTGTGCAGCAAATTCCTGTGACTTTAGGAGCCACCTGTACGTTTGTGTATTGAATTGCCTAGGGACAGCAAGAGGTTCTGAGTTTTGCTAGTTCCTGAAAAATAGATTTCGCCAATGAAAGGCAGACAGGCAGCTGGAGGAGCAGCATGTTGCTGTGCAGGGTAACACTTCCTGCATCTATTTTATTGAGATAGGCCAGAATGCAGTGTGTATATATAGCCAATATGCTGTATAGTGTGTGATCAGCTAAGGGTGGAGGCTGAAAGTGTCCTATAATGATATGGCAAGGAGTGCAGTGCATTTTTGATTACTGTAGTCCATGTGTGTTTGTTCCCTTTCTAGGGAGCCTGTGTATGGATATACGCCTCTGATGGAAGCAGCTGCTTCTGGCCATGAGATAATTGTTCAATATCTTCTCAATCATGTAAGTGTCTGGACAGATCTCTATAAAGCTCAAAATCTGTGGTTTAAGCCTTCAGAGAGGGAGAACCACAAGGCTAATGCCATAACAGTTCTAAGTGTTGTTTAATCACTGATGGTCATCTTTGATCTAAAGTAATGGATTTTGAGGGCTGTTCTAAAAGTAGCTGTTTTCTGAAGGCTCGTACTCTGTGCTCTGCTAGTCTTGCACAAGGAGGAGAAAGTCTGATGTGACTGAATATTGGCTGAATTAGGAAGCAGCTAATGCAGTGAGTTTACAGATTTGTGTGCTTGGACTACTGGGAATCTTAAGTCTATCCTAAAGTTTATTGGCATTCATGTCTTTTGATGTTAAACAGTTTTTAATAGCCCACTTAGCTGGTCCAGCTTACTTCCAGAAGGAGGCAGCAATGCAAAACATTTCAGATAAAACTAAGTAGCTCCCAGTGGCAATGCACAAGAGCCATATGCCTCCTTGGGGATTGGGAAGACCAGATAGAAAGGCAACAAGGAATTCATAGTGGAGCTTGAGCTATCAAAGGTGAACCTGTATTTCTGATGGGCTTGGAGAAATGAAGACAATTCTTTAGCTTGCTTGAAGATAATTTTTAAATTAATTTTAATAATTAATTTTTATATAATACTTAAGTAATAATTATTATCTGCTATGAACACTTCAAATGCCCATTTTTTCTACAGGGAGTGAAAGCAGATGTCAGAGATAACACTGGAGCCACGGCACGGACACTGGCTATGAAGTATGGACATACGAAGATTGTGGGGTTGATAGACTTGCATGCAGCCCCAGTACCCAAGGTCTTCTGCAGGGGTCCAGGTAAACAGGTTTTAGTTCCTTCATCTTAAGGTAGAATGTGAAGATAGGTGCTTGATGTCTTGTAAGTATGGATTACGTATATGGGCTAATATTAGCTGGTCTTCCTTGGAAATACCAGTATTTTTTTTTTTAGGATGTAAGAGGCACAGCTCCAACACTGCTTTTTTTTCTTGCCTGCTGGCCCTTTTCTGACCTAGTTGAACTTTCAACCTCTCTTTTAACACTTCCTTTTTTCTTTTCATTGCTCTTATTAGGACCAGTAGTAAATAAGTAGGTACATGAATTATCATGCTGCTAACAGTCTTTGTTTGGACTACAGGAAAATATGAAGAGCTGAGTTCTTCAGATGAATCGTGTTCTGCTCCCCAGAGACAGAGACCTGTTCGTAGGACCAAGGGTCCCAGCATCCATGATGGGCCCCAGGCTTTGGCTAAGATAACAGCAGTTGGAATCGGGGGAAAGAAGCAGTCTCGCTATGGTGAGAATAGTTTGAAGCCTAACTGAGAGTCTTTCATGGTCTCAGGTGCTTTACAGCTATTTCTGTGCCGACAACTTTCTTTTCATTTGGGTTTTTCTATGCATGGCTTATACAGAAGGGAAAACAGTGAACTCCCTCATACAAGGCTATACAGCTTCTGGTTTAAAACCAAAGTCTGCTGAATGCACTTGTGAGAGCTGGATATCGAGTGGAAAATTATCTGTAGAATAAGCACCGCTCTTAATTCAATTACTGTTCCCTCTTACTCTTGAAAACAGCCCAGTTTCTCTTTTGAGGTGGGCTCAAAGGCTTGAGAGCCCTTCTCGGCTGATGACAAAGGAAGAGGTCACATAATCCAGAAAATAACTGATAATGAAAGGAAATTTGCTACACCTGGACCTGTCAGCTTTGTTTTCCTTGATGCTTGAAGTACCACTTCAAAAAAAAAAAAAAAAGTAGTTTTCAAGGCCTTTGTAGAAGGCCAAGAGAAAGATCATTGTAGTTCAGACATCGACCACTGGATGCAGTGGTATGAACTTGCCTTCTCATGCATGTGTCGTAGCTATAGGTATTCCTCAGGCTGATTACCCCGTTTTCTGAAATAGCCAATATGGGCTTAAAAGCATATTCAGAACTTGGTTCATTCTATTAACACAGATGCATACTACACCATGGGCAGTGACTGCATCAGCACAATAGTCAGCATCTGAAATGGTAGTGGGATGTTAGCACAGATGCAGCAGGGTTAGTTTTACAGTGTGCTTGGCTGGGGGGGGTGAAGTGCAGTTGGCACTTTGCTCTCTTAAGCAGATGTTTTTCCACTTAGTGTGGGTGTGGAGATAAGAAGAAATGCTTGAAAGCTAAGTAAGGTACAGCTCTGCTATAAGGCTCTTTCCTTTGACTTCATCAATGCCACCATCTAAATAAAGTCCAGCTATTTGTTTGTGTGAGGGAAACTGTAGGCATATGCAATTTTTCCCCTGTGCTTTTTAAAATGGATTCTGCTAGTTGAAGTGACAATCTCTTGATTATTTTGAAATCCCTGAATGAATGCTCTTTCTGCTGGAACCTCCATGGTAACTTTAATCCTAACTGCTCTGTTCCTTCTCCCTTTTTCGTGCACACAGAGCAGGTCCCTCCTCAGGGCTATGTTACCTTCAATGATGATGGCAGCTGTGAAGCGGATGGTATCCGGAACCGGGATGTCACCTCTCCAATTAATGAGCAGGATGTGGAGAGCAGCAGCAGCAGGGGTAAATCACTGTCTTGGAAAAAGAATCTATTTGCAAAGCTCATCTGGGTGTGGGACCAACCCCTTGGCTTCTGCGTTCACTTTCTGATCTGTTTAGCTGTTAGGCAGCTGTGGTCACTGGGTCTTCACCTCTGACCTGAGTCTGTAGCATCATAGTATTGTACCAGTGGCCAGAACCAGGTTGTGCTTGACCCTCCAAGCAGAGAGTGAGATGCCCCACTGGGCAGGGAGAGGAAAGACCATTCTGAATGCTGCCTTCACCTCTCTCTTTAGTAGTAGGACTGACCTTGAGAAATCCCAGAACCTGGAGTCTGGAGGGGCAGAAGGGAGGCATTCTGGAGTGAGTAAGATATTCCCTTGGTAAAAGAGGTCCAACAAATTGCCATTAATATGTTGAGGGCTCAAGTATCTCCCTTCTGAGGAAAGGCTGAGAGTGCCATGGTGGTTTAGTGTAAAGAAGAGAAGAGTTTGTGGGGATGTCAGTGTGTACAAATATCTGAATGGAGGGTGTGATGAAGACGAAGCCAGGTTCATTTCAGTGGTGTCCAGTGACAGAACAAGAGGTGGCAGGCACAAACTGAAATGGAGGAGATTGCCTCCGAATGTAAAGAAACAGTTTTTACCGTGAGGGTGACTGAACACTGGAACAGGGTGCCTAGATGGGTGGAGACTCCCTTCTTGGAGACGTTGCCGTTACATGATTCTAGGTGACTAGCTTGAGCATGATTTGGGACAAGATACCCTTCAAGATACCCTTGACCGTTCTATGATTCTGTGAAGCAGCACGAGGAAAGCATCTCTGGGCAGTTCCTAAACTAACAGAGGGTAAGGTGGCACTGTGCTGGCTCTGCTCAGAGAGATTTTCCATGGATTTCAGTAATGGGAGTGAGGGTTTATTGTAGGTAATATTCCACTTGTCCACCCTGTCACCAAGAGACTCAGAGAAATACACAAACATGCACTTGGCCTTCCTGCTCTCTGAGGTACTAAGCAGATGAGGAGAAAGACTTGTGACATGTTTGTCTCAGAATTGTCTTTTAATCATGAGTACTGCATGTGAAGGAGAAACCCATAACAAGACTTCCTTTATGCCTTCCAGGAGACTTCCCTGATTGTTGTGTGGCAAAAACAGTCTTGAGTGTAATGAAGCTCAACCTCAAGATTTTTTTCTTGTTCCTTTCCAGAGGATAATGTTTTCTTCACCAACAACTTAGCAACTATCAGGAGCAGCAGCAGCAGTAGTGAATGCCTGACCAAAGCCCTGGGGGTCAGCAGTGAAGGCTCCTTGGAAAGTAATGAGGTGAGGTTGTCTTCTTTCCTTTCTCTGCCTTCAGGTTTGGCCTGTGCTGTCACCCTTCCACAGCCTGCTATGATTCTACCTCCACAGAAGGCTGCAGTACCAGGCTGGGTGAGAAAAAGGTACATGAAGGCACACAAAACCAAGTTTCTGTATTTGAAGATTACACATTGGCTTGTTTGATCTCTGTCTAGTAGCCAACTATCAAAGCATTCACTCAAGTAGATTTTTGATGTTGAGTGAATGGTTTTTAAGCTCTCTCTGTTGCTTCTGAACTCTTTTTTTTGAGCAGTATCTATCTAGCGATCTGTAAAGGACATCCCTTGCTAGAGCTGGGTCAGTCCTTTAGAGTGGTGAGATAATAAGCAGTATCGTAAGATTTGGAGAAGCACAGTAATGCTATATTGGCAGTGTAAAATGCAGAAAAGGATAGAGGTTATTCAGTGGTTCTAGTCACAGCTCACACCCCAGAGCCAGCTCTGGGCTGGTATGTAGAAGGGTTGTGAACACAGATCCTGTTTCTTGAGGTGCTTCTCACAAATAGGAACTCAGTGTGTTGTATTGGTTTGGGGAGGATTTGGTGCTGCTCTCTGCTCGTGCATGCTGCTTCATAGACTGGAATTGCAAGAGCCTGTTAATTCCAGGCCAGTCTAGAGCAGTTCTATAACAAGGTGCCATCCTGACAGTGATTTGATTCAGCCCTTTCTAAAAAGGTTTATATTCATCATTGCTTGTGTTTGTAGACCATTGTCTGGATTTAGAGCTTTAGGCTTGGAGCCTGCACTTGTTAGACGTAGTGATCCTGGCACCTTTGCCTGACTGTCCTTGACCTTTACATTCCCTGTTGTGTTCTTTCTTTTTCAGGATTCCGACCACGCAAACAGTCCTCCAAGTCGGAAACAAGCCAAAAGCTTTAAGGTCAAGAATCGCTACAGCAACAGTGATAACCAGTGGACCCACTGCCCAGGGAAAGCTGGAGGCTCTAGTCAGCACCTCATGCTTCCAGAGCCCCCTGCCTATACAGGACCCCAGGTAACTGAGGACAGAAAGCTATCTTTGAAGTGATGCAGACCATATCACTGTAGCAAGCCTGGGAGGTTTCTTTGAAATTGTTCAAGCTGCTTTCTTGGCATTCTCAGATAAAAGGAAAGTTGTCATCAAAATGTCTTTGATACCAACCCCCTGCCCAGTATCAAGTACTTGTGAAAGAGCAATGTCTTGTACAAGGAACTGCTGGTTTCGGTGTTGATGTTGCTTGGAGGGATATTGCAGATCCTTCAGGGCTGTGGTGGGGACTAGGGCAAATGGTGGGCCGTTAGCTGTCTCTTCCTCAGTTGTTACAAGAGATAGTAGCTGCAGTGCCAGGGGAAGTCATGACATGCTGGAACCCAGGAAGGCATAACAATTACAAGAGGAAGCAGATGTTTATGGTGAAGAGAGGTGATGCTGTTGTTTGTGAGAGCATAAATAGTTTTTGTATGGGCTGCAGGACCTGGCAACGTTCCTTGAGCAGATTGGGTGCCTGAAGTACCTGCAAGTGTTTGAGGAGCAAGATGTTGACCTCAGGATCTTCCTGACCCTCACAGAGAGTGACCTGAAGGAAATAGGCATCACGTGAGTATCTGTCAGGTAGTTCTTATCTCTTCCCTTAAAACTACAAACGTAACCTGGTAAAGAAAGCCTAGCTGGTGAGTGCTTCTCTGTTTTGGTAGTCTCCCACACAACTTTGATATCCCTTAGTTCTTGGCCACAGCAAGCTTTTGTTGTGGATGGTGCCCTTGGAAGAACCAGGAGGTTGCAAAGGTCCTCCAGGCATCCTGTTGGGCACAGACAATGCAATGTTTGCTCCCTGACAGTTTGTCGTTCTCCCACCAGCCTGTTTGGACCCAAGAGGAAGATGACTTCTGCAATTGCCCGATGGCACAGCAATGCCCGGCCGCCCAGTGATGCCCTGGAGCTGGCCTATGCAGATCGGCTGGAGGCTGAGATGCAGGAGCTGGCCATTCAGCTGCACAAGGTAAGAAGTCTGCCAGGAGCTGCTCAGTGGCTTTTCATGGTCTAATGAGTGACCGGTAGCATGTTTCTACAGTTCTGCCTCTAATGGACTGGGGTAAAGGAACAGGCATAACTTCCAGAGGACACACCAGGTGTTGAGTAGATCAGTTAACCCCATAAATGCAAATCTTCCCCTCTGCATCCACCTGAGAACTAAAATGAAGGGTGTGAGGGGAACTGAATACCTGCCTTTTTTGGTAGCATCACTTCACGTGAAGTTGTGCAGCTATCTGCAAACGGGCTTCTACTGATTTAGCAAATTGGGTCTTCTGCATATCTTTGGTAAAGGAGAGCAAGAGGAAATTGTAACTTTGGGGCTGGTCTTGGTGTGGATAGGATCTGTGTTCAGTGTATAAATCTTGGGCAGTTCCATTTCTGCTGGTTTTGGCACGTTTCTGCTGGGACCCTCTGGCTGCCAAACCCATTAAAACAGCAGGGACGTGTCAGAGGAGGCACTATGAGAGTGATGCACAGGACTTGGAGCGATGTACAGTACCTTGCAGTGGAGTCATCTGCCCTCTTTTCTGCTGCAGAGGTGTGAAGAGGTGGAGGTGATGAAGGGCCAGGTGTGCCAGGAGCAGAAGCTGCGTGCGGTGGCCGAGAGCTGTTTGATGGAGCGGGATGAGAGCTGGAATGCCATCCAGTGCCAGCTCAGAGAGGCTCAGGCCATCACTAAGGATGCTGGGGTCTTACTGGATCAGATCAAGTAAGTTCTTCCCAGCAAATGTCACTGAAGCTAATGGGGAAAATGGGGATTTGGGCTCTGCAGAGATCAGGGGTTGTACTGTCACTCTTACAGGTGATACCTTAGGGTAAGGCAGGACAGATCACGAGGCATCTGAACTCATTCTGGATCCTCTGTGGCTTTCTCTAGTGGAAAGTCATGGCCATGTCAGCAGATCTGAAGCCCTGATTAGATGTATTGAGTTCTAAATGGGCTGTTTTGTTCAGAGTGCTGAGCGCTCCTATTCCAACTCAAAGTTGAAGGATCTCAGCTCCTTTGGAACCAAAAGCCTAAGTGCTTATCTGAGGCCCAGGCACTAGGGAGCATGTGGCTTGGTGACTGCATGAAAGCAGGAAAGAGTTTCTAACTTCCAAAGAATATCAAAGGACTTCCAGTTTCCAACCCTGGCTAGTTAAGAAAACTCAAAACTCTTTTAGCAGCTCTGATGCCTAACAGAGAAAAGCCTGCCCTGTTCATGCCCACCACTGCCTCTGAGTTCAGTCTTCCCCTACCTGCTATCACGTCCTTTGTTGCCTTTGTGATACTCTTCTCCGTGCCCCAGCTGAGCCCCTGTTCTGTCGTGGGCCCTGATCTGTCAGTCGATAGGACTGACGTGTCCTTGAAAGTGACAGTGGTTCTACTGCTGCAGTTTCTAGCCCAACAGGGGAGAAGGCTCAGCTCACTTCTAAGCCAGGGATTGGCTTCCAAAGGACAGCAGAGTGATATTCCCAGAGCACTCTTCCCACTGAGGAGCTGAGGCTGCACTGTTTGAACCGATAGCATGATGATGTTAACCAGAGAACCTTTTGTGTGCCCCTGATGGCTGTCCTGAGGTAGCTTCATTTGCCCATTAGAAACATTGGACTGGGGTTGATTCTCATATTAACCAGATGCAGCCCCTGGCTTAGGCTTTCTCCTGCTCACCCCACCCCCTCCTTCTCTTCTCCCCCCGCAGCTCCTCTGTGGACAGGGGCAGAGATTGCTGTGGAGATGGGGCACAGTGGAGAGCGCCCCGAGCTTTGTCTGGGGCACGTCTTCCTCTTCCTGGGAAGGAACAAGGAGCAGTTTGTAACCCAGGGCGTTAGATGTGGTCCCTCGGCATCCCAAGCAGGTACTTGCAGGATGTAGGAGGGCACAGACCGGCATGCTGTTCCAGAAACCACCCTGTGCACTTCTGACAGGCTTTGTCTTGTTTGGCAGATCCTGTCAAGCAGAGCTGTCCTCCCGGCTAACTCAAGAGCAAGCAGCTGGCAGAGTGCTGGACACAAAGGTGCAGCTGGGAACCGGTGAGAGTTGAGTAGTGTGTCTGGGGAAGGGGGAGAGCTCATCGAACCAAAGAAACAGGAGCAGGGGGTGGGCAAACAGTGGGAGACGCTAGAGCAGGCATGTGGGCTTGCCTTTCACTGCTGAGAGGGTGAGGCTAGGTGTGATTTGGAATGCTAGATAAGCAGGTAAATGCTTACATGTAATAAAAAAAAAAGTCTTGCTTGGGGAAAGCATCTGAAGTATCCAAGGAGTTTGGGCTTTCACTGCAGCAGAGTTTCCCTGAAGCTCTTGATCTCTAGCAAGGCAGAAGTCCTGGGGTCTGGCAGGGGTTTCTGGCTAAAAACATAGAGCTGTAGCACAGGCACTCAGTGGCAGTTGTGCTTAAAGATCCTGTGGCTTCCCCTTCCTGCACTGCACTGTGGGCCCCTCAGGTGTGTTACTGCACTGTGCGCTAGAGCAAGGTCTGAATCAGAAACAGTGGCTGGTTCAGTGACCCCGTCTGGTGGATCGTGCTGCTCATGTAGTGAGGCAGATGGCTGTACGTGGCTGGGTAGGGTTGGACTCTCCAGCTCCCGATCACAAGGAGCTAGCAAATGGTTCTGCTGCCCTACATGATGTGCTCTTCACTGCTTGTGTTTTAGAAGTGACATACTCAGAGACTGATTTCAGTCTGCTACACTTAATCTTTGAGATCTGTCTTACTGTGTGACTAAGCCAGTATTTCTGAGGGGTGGGGGAATCACAAGTGGTATAATTGGGGGACAAAACTCTGTTTCTGTTGTGGGCAGTTCCAGTTCCCTTCACATGTGACTCAGAACCCTCGACTGGAACCACTTTAGGTGTAGACACCTCACAGCAACACCAAGCCCTTGTCTCCTCTGTTGCAGAGCATGCAGATTGACAAATGTGTGTTTTCTTTCTTGCAGTGCGGGAAGGATGGCCACCTTCCTTGAAGTCTCTGAGCTTGCCTGAGCTGTCAGCTGTTCTGGAGAAGTGTGTGGGAGAAATGGGTAAGGTGGGAGAGGAGTCATGTGAAGTGACTTGCGCTGGAGGGGAGGCATGGTGGGGCAGGCTTCTGATGGTTTGGTAGTGGTATGGGTTGGAGGGAGCTAACAATCCCCCCTCGTTCAGGGAAGTCTCCCAGCTATGAAGCTGTTGCATGCATTTTCTTGCACTTACTCTCACTGCAAACATTGGGCTCTGCCTTGGCCTCTGCTGACAGGTCCAGACTGAGAGAAGGGGATCCACAGCCCCCTGTGTTCTCCTTGCTGCTGTCCTTTCCTGCTGCTCAGTGATCAGAGCTGTGTGTGAAGGGGTTCCCAAAGCAGGTGCCCTGCAGACAGGAACTCATCCCAGCAACAGGCACATTTTTGTTCCATGAGTCCTGCAAGGAAGGAGATGGCACAGAGGCAGGATAATGGTGGTTGAATGCAGTCTGCAGCCTGTTCTTTACCACTTGCTGCCCTGTTGCTAACAATGAGTTTTTCTTTTGGTTTGTCCTCAGGTAAAGCTCTGCAGACTGTGACTCAAAACCTCCAAAGGCTCCAGGCCCCGGGGCAGGGCGGGCAGAGCTGGCTAGAGCCTTAACAAAGCAGGATGGTGAGTGGGAACTGATGACAGCTGGAAAGGGCTGGGGAACAGGGAGCATCATTCCTTGCAGCAAGCAACAGCCACTCGTGGCTTGTGCCCAGTGCTTGCTCAGAGCATCCACCCTGAGGCGTTGCTCCCGTCCTCACGTGCCCTTCGACTGGCTTTTTATTTGAAAAAAATTTGTCTTTGTGCCTCCCTGGAAGGGTAACTGTCCTGTTTTTTTCCTGGTGGCTGCAGGAATTCTGACGTCGGGTGACTGTTCCACCCGGAAGCTGAGTGTGCCTGGGAGAGTGAGCGTGAGCACTGTGCTGGCAGCACCGCAGCTCTGCTGAGAGCTGGCTGATGTGTGGAAGAAGGTCTCGGCCACCAGAGAACGAGGGACAGCAGAGGACAAGGACTCAGCAGCTGTATGGGCCTGGCTGTTGTCTAGGTTCCCTGGAACGTGTTGTCCATACTGGAAGGTTAAGTTAAGAGGACAAGCACTGAGCCCAAAGGGTTTATCTGCCTTAAGCTCCCCGTAGCCTTTGTCATTCAGGGCTGCATGGTGTTAGAAAGCTGACAGCTACCTACAGCAGTCAGCTATCCTTTTCAGAATCCCCTCCTGAAGGCCTCCAACACACGTGGATTGGTAGTTGCTCAGGAGCTGACACAGAAAATGTATCTGAGGCAATAAGGAGGGCAGGCTTGTTGTGGATGAGTAAAGTGAGCAGAGGGGGTGATGTTTTTGCAGTGAGCTCCAGAGAAGCTCACGCAGCCCTAGTCTCTAGCTGGAGAAACTTCCCTGCTGCTGTCTCGGATCTGTACTTCAAAACCTCTCCTAGCCAGCCTGCCTTGGTTCGGTTCAGATTCTTGCCTGCCTCTGGGGTCACTTTTGATCATGTTTTTCACTCCCAAATAACTGTTTTTTTGTGGTAAAAGCTTTGTGGCAGAGACTCCAGTGGTCAGGTTTGTTGGTGCCAAGATCCCAACACTGACAGTGGTTGCAAGGCAGATGTGCCCCTGGAAGGACATGAGAGGGAAGGAAAAGCTCAAGACTGTTTGGTCTCCTTTGCCTCTGGCAAGCAACAGAGTGCCAAGGCGGGCAGAACAAGAACAGAGGAATAGATCTGTCCCCACGCAGGAGGCAGATTTTAAAAAAAATAATAAATAAAATCATATCCCAGTTGCAGATGTAGCTGCAGTGCTAAGCTTTAGTCCCCAGCTTTGCCTGCCTTTGGTTTCCAGGCTTCAGTGCTAGGAAATAAGGCTGCTGAGGCATTCTTGTGTTGGCACTGGGGGTGTTTTCAAAGGGCATGGTGCAGGAAGAGGCCCCCTTCCAAGGGGACTGCCCGGTCTCTTGGAGCTGGGCAAACAGCCACAGGGGCTCTGGTGACAGTTACATCGTAGAAAACAGCTTCCAGCACTGTGCAGCAGCTCTTCATGCCTATTGCTGAGTCCAAGGTGGGTGGGAGGTGGGGAGGGAATACCTGTGGTCTGAGCATGGCCTTAACGAGTCTGGAGAAGTCCCATTCTCTTTGCTGAGAAGGGAAAGAAACTGTGTTCCTTCTGAGTTTTGTTTTGTTTTTTTTTTAACCTTCAGCGTTTGTGATTAAGTGCAAAAAACCATCCCAGCTCCATCCTTAGCTAGTTATCCCCTTCTGATCAACTGCCCAGCTCTACTTAGGCTTGAAAATGAGTCTGCCTTTGGTGAAGGTGACATCCAGCTGGGCTGTCCCAGGGAATCGTCCCTGGGGCTCTGAGGCAGGTACGTGCACCACTTGGCACACCTGCACTGCTGCAGCCTGTATGCACCTGGCAGCGTGCTCAGCTGGGGAATGGTGCTCCTTATTCATGTTTAACTCTTGAAATGAGAAAGCTGCCTGTTGTGTGCCTTGTTTGGGGAATGACATGGGTGTATGCAGGTGTCAAGTGCTGCAGGCAGTAGGACAAGGGCTGCAGGAGCTTTCATGCTGAAGCACGGTTGTTGTGGCAGAGGCAATTATTCTGAGGCAGCATCCCTGAAAGCTGCTCAGAGTATTGAGGACAGTGCTAAGAGCAGGATGTGGGGCCTTGTCCTGCATTCCCTGTTACAGAACGGGCAGGCTGGAGACTCGCAGTGTAGGTGTGAAGGAAGCCCAACAGAAAAGGTTCTCTGGGAGCCCAGATGGAAAGGCTCAGAAGGGTGATAGTGTCCCAAGGTGGACACCAGGGAAGGGGCTTTATAGAACTGTGTTCCCTTGAGGAAGCAATCCCTTGAATGTGTGACTTGACAGTATTCAGTGCTGAAAGGGTGGCTGTGCAGGCAGCAGGGAGTCTGGTGCTACCCGAAGTCAAGCTGTCCAAATTAAATAGCGTTTGTTGACTTGGCTAAAACAATAAAAACCGAAAACCTGTTTCTGGTGTCTGGTGTGTGGGCTTCTCGGGAGGGAGCTGGTGTAGAATTGTGAATAACCTGACCCATTTCTTTCAGGACCATCGGGAACACACGTAGTGTTCCAACTTTCTCCCCCAGGTGGCTGCAGGGCTCTGGGGCTGCCTTGTCCATGGCTTCCCAGTCCCTGCCTGGCTCCTGTTGGAGGCGATGCCCTGGCAGCACTGGCTGGGTTGGTGCTGGAGGAGCTCCTGTAGTCAGGCAGTACCAGAGCTGCGGAGGAGGAGGGTGCATAGGTAACAGTGAGCTTTTTTAGTTCCTAGCTGGGAACTGCTGCTTTTACACCCAAAAAGTCCTAGCTGCACAATAAAGGCAGAGGTCTCTGCACTAGCTCAGAAATGAGTTTAGGCTTTGAGTTGCGTGCTGGGGTTTTCTTAAAGGTGAAATGCTGATCTGGTGCCCAGCTCTGGTCTGAGACTTGTGAGCTGTGTCAGTGTGACTGTGCTCTGCCAAACCCTCAGCCAAGCTCTGATCTGGCACTGGAGATAGGTGGGCAAGAGGAGCTCCCCTTCAGCAGCTCTTAAACCTTCTGTCTGCTCAGAAGTAAAGCTGCTGTGCTGAAACACAAACCTGACCTGGGCTCTGAACGGGTGGGAGTGCTGGGAGAGAAGAATCCAGGCTGCACTCCAGCTCCTGGTCGGGAGAAACTACCTGCTCCTCGGCTCTCCTGGTACCAGAGCTGGCATGTGATTTTGGTAGCTGTTTGTGTTATTTATCACCATGTTGACTTAATTTGCTGTTTTTGTCCTTGTGTAGCCTGTAATGTAATCCCAGGGTGGGGAACACGGGGCTATCTTGAGCGAGGAGCTCTTGGTGCCTGTTTAATATCCTAAAGTGAGGAGCGTGTGTGCATAAGCGCACATCAGTGCCCTTACACATGCAGCTGCCTTTACCTTGGTGCCTGAGAGCCCTTTTCCCTCAGAGCAGACACGTGGCATGCTCTGCTTGCTGAAAAATAAACATTTATTTACATCTGAAGAGAGTCAATGTGCAAAATGGTCTCACAGGGCTCACAGCTGCCCGGCAAACCTCCTGCTTGGCCCTCCAGCTTCGCGTGCCGCTGTGGCTGAGCTCTGTCCTTCCCGTGCTCGGGGCAGCTCTCCTCAAGCCGCCGTGTTTGCAGGAGGCTCAGCCACGAGCCCAGGGGCTGCGCGAGCCCCTCGCCCAGCGCTGGAGCACCGCCTGTGTCCACTTGCATGGAGCGGGGAGCAAGAGCTGCGTCCTCCCTCCTGATGGAGCGGCCTCGGCAAGGTGAAGCGCGGCGTGGCAGGAGTTAGGGACGGGACAGCACCTCTGTCCTGCTGCCAAAGGCAAGAGCCAGGGGGCTGGGGGGCTGCTGGTGGCCGCCTTTTTTGGGAGCACTGGGACCAGTCCTGGACATGGAGCTCTCGGTTGCAGCCGGGCTGGGCTTCCAAGGCGAGGTGTGGAGGCGCCGCTGGAGGCTCTGCTGGGCTTGGGGTGCTCCCAGTGGGGATGCTGAGCTGGGCCACGGCAGCAAACTGGGCTCCCAACAGGCTACTTGGCAGCGAGGGGGTGCAGCCAGTGCTTGGCCCCCTCTTGGAAAGCAAAGCTCTTCACAGCCGGGCCCCAAAATGCCCAGCTTTTTGCCAGCCTTCTCTTCCCAATCCCAGAGCCTTTCCTGTGCAGGGCTCGCTGCGGAGGAGGAGGTGGCTGGGCCTGGGGGGCCAAGGGCAGGCCGGGGTCCGAGTCCTTCGCTCTCCCCTGCTGTGGTTTTCTCTGTGCCCACCAGAGAAGCAGCAGGGGCAGGATAAACACAAGCCCAGGTGTTCAAGCGCTGCGCTAAGCTGCGTGCGTGCCGCTCGGCTGCTGGGGGGCTCCGGGGGGCTCTGCCACAGGAGGAGGTCGCAGAGAGGAGGAAAGGGGGCGGCTGGAGAGCAGCGAGGAGGGAGGCAGGTGCCGATGCCATGGCCTGCAGCGGGTGGCGAGGAGGTGAAGAGCTTTGCAGGATGACTCCAGGACAGGCGTCTCGGGGTGGTGGTGAGGAGCGGATGCCCTGGATTGGGGCAGTGCCAGCCCTGCAGGGCCCGGCATCCATCCTGCTCCCGCATCCTGCTTCAGCTGGGCCTCTCCTGCGGCTGGCATCGTCTGGTGGTGCCAGCAGAGGTAGGTGATGGCGTGGGATCGGGGAGCAGCAGGCTCAGCTCCTCGCACCGCTCACTCATCCTGCATGAGCACGAGGGGCTGGCGGTGTCCGAGCAGCGCCCGGGGCCCCTCACTGTGTGCAGCAGAGCGCGGGGTGGTCCAGCTTCCAGAGCTGCCACTTCTTCTTCATCTCCGACTTCACCTGGTAGGGCAGCAGGCTTAAGGTTTGGCTTTTTTGTGCCCTCCCCAGACCGAGCCCCACGAGAGGCAGAGTCGCAAAGCCTGCGGCTGGCACGACCCGAGCCCAGCTCCCAGCACCCACCCCAAGAAAGCCGAGGTTAAAGCGAGGTTAAGGGGTTTTGCTGGTTTCTGTGGGGCAGCAGCCAGCGCCACAGCATTAAACTGGTGCCAGGGGCAGGGCTGGGGAGGGCAGGGTACGTACCTCCTTGTTGGCAAAGCAATACAGCACAGCCACCAGGAAGCCCTGCGGAGAGAGCACGGACCCGAGCCCCACATCAGCGTGTGGGACTGGCTCTGTCTCACCTCTGGGTGCTTTTAGGGCCACCCCAGAGCATCCCCAACACACATGGGCATCAATTCAGTCACCATCACACGCTCAACAGGGCTTGGGCAGGAGGCTGGCGTCCCCGTCCCCCAGCGCAGGGGCAGCCAGCTGGAGGAGGGGGCCCCAATGCTCACCCCGTGGTGCGAGGACCCCCGAGTGCTCTCGCCTCACCTGGAAGGAGTTGAGGAAGAGGGTGAAGAACACCTTGACGTAGCGCAGGATGCCCGTGGTTTGCTCGTCGGTGGCAAAGATGAAGACAACTTCGTGGATCCCAAAGAGGGGGATGAGCGTCAGCGTGGCTTTGGCCAGCCTGAAAAGAGCACGAGGGGGGCAGGGCCCTTTGGTGAGCAGGGACGAGCTCTCATTTAAGCCGAGCAGGTCGTTTAATGAGGCATGGGATGGGGGAGCTGGCACGGGTGGGTGGCCCCGCTCACCGCAGCTTGTAGTCGGCGTAGCCCTTCTGGTTGGCACGCAGCTTGGCCAGGATCACCTTGAGGATCCGCATGAAGATCAGCAGGTTGATCTGGGGGTAAGGGGGGCACCCATGGACCAGTCCCGCCCTGGGGCCAGCCCTCCCTCCCTCCCACCATCCCCGAACCCCAGCCAGGAGCCGGCTCCAGCCCCCAGGGATGGCTCTGGGGGTCGCTGGGGCCCCCCTACCAGGGAGGCGAGCAGGATGGGGATGCGGATGATCCACCAGTAAGCCATGTTCTCGTTCAGCGCCCAGCACCTGCCCGGGGAGACACGGAGAGCAGCCCGGTTTATGATGTGCTGGGGGTGCAGGATGAGGCCATGCCCAGCCCTCTACGCAGCCACTCACTCCGCGTTCTCCTTCAGGTACTTGGCGGCCATCCAGGGCACCACGAACACCACGGGGGTCCCTGCAAGTCACACAGCAAACCCTGTAAAACCAAGCACCCGCCTGAGCTGAGAAACCGCCCCCAGGCTGGGGACGCTGCGGGGTGGCAGCTTGGCACAGGGCCCGTCCCCCACCCCGTCACCGGGCACCCGGGTGGCTCCTACCCCAGCCCAGGTACAGGTAGAGCCTGTAGTAATTCTTCTCGGAGAAGACGGCACCGATCAGCAGTTTGTAGAGGTAGACGGCTTCCACCAGGAACCAGTAGTGGTTGGCCAGGATGCAGTACTGCATCAGCACCTGCGCCGCACGGCAGCCCAGCGCCGCCTGCCAGAGGACACCCAACGTGGGGCTGAGAGCTCGCCCACAGGGTGCACAACTGCCCCAAGAGCTTGCCCACGGGGTGCCCCAAAAACTTGCTTCCTGGCTGCATAGGCACCCCATGAGCCCAACCACCAGGCGTACGTGCACCCCGCGAGCTCACCCACTGGGTGCGTGGGCACCGGCACCCAGCCGCACGCCCTCCCCAGGGTCAGCGTCCCCCCATGCTCGGTGTCACCCCCCCGGCCGTGCTTGCCTCGTGGCTCAGCAGGGCCTGCCAGTCGGCCACCTGCACCACCTCCATGCCCCAGCGCCTCTCCAGCAGCGCGTCCTTCACCATCACCGAGGTCGCCCGCAGCCCGAAGGAGGCGAAGAGGTTGGCGTGGATGTAGTTCCTGGTGCAGTGGAGCTTCCTGGTGAGAGCGAGGGGGTCGGGGGGCACCCCCTGGCCGTGGCTGGCAGCCACAGACAAGGGGCTGTGTGCGGCAGGGGCCGTGGCCCTGCTGGGGCTGACCCCCGGTGCGTGGCAGGACCGCAGCCCCCACCTTGTCCTACCTGAAGACGGTGAGCACGAGCAGGGCAGAGACAAGGGTCAGCAGTGACAGCGAGTACCCCACGGTGTAGAGCACTTTGAAGCTCACCATCAGCCTGTGGGCACCCTCCTGCACACACAAGCACCGCTCCGCTGAGCCCGGCTGAGCAGCACCCGCCGCGCACCCCGGGGTGCCCCCGCCCCGGTCACAGCTCCCACCTCCTCCATGGTGGACTCCATCTCCTCCTCGCACTGCGAGTAGTCCCGCCAGGGCTGGCTGCCGTTCACCGTCACCCACTGCCCGTCCACACCGCACCTGCGGCTCACCAGCCCGTGTTTCACTGCGGGCACAAAGCAGCAGAGGCTTCCTTCGGGCTGTCAGGGGCCCCAAACCCCCACTCCACAATAAAACCATGGCTCTCTGCAGGGGCACCGGGGCACGCAGCCACGGCTCACGCCCACAGGGCCACCTCTGCTCTGCCCTCCCCGTGCCACGCGCATCCCAAGGCTGTGGGACCCCGCTCACCCCCATGCCCCCAGACCCTCCAGCACCAGATCCCGCTTCCCCACGGGGTCCGGGATGGCCGAGGCTCATCGTCACCTTTCTCAAACCAGGGCAGGTAGAAGGGGCAGGAGACGTTGACGGCGGTGCCGGGGCTCCCATCGGGCCAGCAGGCGTACATGTCGAACGTGCGGTTGCAGAAGAGCCCTGCCATCAGCAGCACCGTGCGGGGAGAAGCCGATGGTCAGACGCAAGTGGCACGGCCAAGCCTGGTCCCGCTGTCCCCACACCTCACTCACCCCCCTGGTACCCCAGCCCTTGGGTGTCCCCCATGGGGACACCCAGTCCTGGCTCAGCAGCCCTCTGCGGGTGACCGGTGTCACCGGGAGGCCAAATCCCAGCCCCACACCCCTGCGCCCAGCCGGGTACCTGCCGGGTACGGCTCGCTCGCCATCCTCCTCAGGCACTCGTCTCGGTACCGCATCCACTCCTCGAAGGTCCTCTCCAGCACCTTGGCCCCGCCTGTGCTGCAAGCCCAGAGCCCGGTGTGGAGCCACCAGCCCCACACGTTGGGGGCACGGAGCCCGCAGGGACCCAAAGGAACCCAAAGGGACTCCCCCGGCATGCACCGGCCCCGCAGCCCCAGCTTGCACCTTACCGGCACGGAGGAGAAGAGGCACATCCAGGCGAGGTGGACGAGGCTCCGCCGGTACCGGGGCGCCATCAGGTCCCTCATGGCTGTCCCCGCCGGCCCTCAGCACCCCGATCCTGGGCGAGAGGCGGCTGCTGGGGGCGGCACGGCCGAGGGCTGCGCCCCCCGGGGCAGAGCCGGGCTGCGAGCGCACCGCTGGCTGCGCTGGGAGCAAAAGCCACTTGGGGTAACCAAGTGCCAGCCTGGTGCCACCGGGCTGCGAGCTGGTGGGGGGCGCAGGGACGGCCCGGGGGGGGGCACCGGGGTGCCCCAGCCTTGGGAAAGGGTCAGGGCTGGACCCCCCCGGGGCTCCCCCTTGCAAAGGGGCGCTCCCCGCCTTCCCCGGCGCATCCTCGCCCGGGGGCTCCCGGAGCTCCGCACTGCCCACGGGGAGGGGGTGTCCCCGGCCGCGCAGCCCCTCGGTGCCCCCCCCAGCCCCTCGCCGCCCCCAGCCCATCCCGTGCCGCCCCCAGCCCCGTACCGGCTCCGCGACGTGAGCGCGGCGGCGAACGAGCGGCGTCTGCGGCGCGGGCACCTCCCGCCAGCGCCGTGCCCCGACGGGGAGGGGGGGGGGCGGAGGCGGCACCGCCCCCCGGGGCTCGGGGCCGCCCCGCGGAGCTCCCGGCCCTGCCCGGCCCCCCCCAGGGCCACCGGGGGCCGGGGGCGTGCGGCGACCCCGCGCGGGGGTCCCCTTTGGGGCGCTGTAGGGGAGGGGCTGAGACGCACATAGGGGAGGGTAAGGGGGGGTTGGACACCGATGGAGACCCCCAGAGCCCCCCCGAGCTGCCCAGGGGAGGTGATGGGGCGCCCTGTGCTCGAGGAGGGTGAGGCTGCACCCCGAAACGCTGCTGGCTGACCCTGCTAGAAAACCCCACATTTATTTCACAAAACCGAGATGTTCGCCCCTAAAAACAGCCCGGGGGGCTCATGGCAAGGGAAGGCGGCCGGGAGCAGCGAGGAGCTGTGCCCATCACTGCAGCACGGGGAGCAGGGGCTGGTATTGAGGTTTTGTGGGATGTGCAACCCGCTGGTGGGGCTGGCAGAGGTGATGCTCTATGGAGGGACCCCCATCCCTCCCCAGCTGTTTCGGGGGGAGCCGTGCCCTCGGGATGCCTGTCCCAGCACGAGGTGGCACTGGGCCTTTCCTGGGGCCTCCTTGCCCAGTGGTTTTTGCTTTCTGCTCCTTGCTTCAGTGAGCCCTTTGGGACCTCTGGGGGCAAGGCTGGCAGTGGAAGTCGGGCTGTGACCGAAATCTCCAAAGCCTCTGGACAGTGGAGGATTCAAAGGAAAAGGGTTTCCAGTGGGGTTTCTCTGCTTGAGCATCACCGAGCACATGGGACGGGGCACAGCACCATGCCCTGCTGCCCACCAAGCCACCAGGGAAAGCTGCAAACCCCCAGGTGGGTAAGCATGTGCTCCCGCAGGCAGCTTCAGCCCAAACAGCGATGCTCTTCCCCCCAGAACAGCCTTGCTGGAGGACGAAGGAGTGACTCGGAGCACGGCCAGCACGGCTCCTTACCCTGGTGGTGGCTGAGGCGCAGAGGAGGTACGTGGCCTTGGAGATGTCACCAGCAGCCTCGCTGCTGAAGCCCTTTCCCTGGGGTTCTGCCGTTCTCCCCTTTGGCGGGCTGTTAACTTGGCCTCAGGGTGACAAATGCTGCCTGCACAAGCATGTAATGCCCCAAAAACCACCGGGAAGTGGCCTTGCCAGGTGTCTGGTGCGCAGCAGAACACCAAGGCACACATCTGAGGGTGCCCACCGGGCACGGGAACCTGGGGGCTGCACCCACCCACACCCCTCGCTCCAGCCTCTCCCTAGGACATCCACAGCAGAGCACCTGGGTGTGGGTTCCCTTCCAAACCAGAGCAGAAAGCCCCAACATCCCCCCGTGTCAACCCCAGGGGCACGGAGCTAACCCCTGCCACAGCGGGGCATGGGCTGCAGCCTGGCCAGGAGCCTCCCACGGACAGCAGCACCAGGGCTTTGCTCCACTCCTCGCCCTCGCTGCTTGCTGCTGCAGCTGAAGAACCGCTCCTCAGCCTTCTCCTCCTCTTCTTCCTCCTCCCCAGCTGCCCATTAGCCCTGCTCATGGGATGACGTTGCCACATGGTGGCTTTAATGCCCACGGGGAAAACGGGGGCCATGGGGGCAAAGCATCAGCACACTGGTGTGGTCCCCCTACCACCAACGCACGTGGGTGCTCAGCGGTGCAGGGCTTTGCTCCTGTGCCAAGCGCCCTGGCTGCAGGAGGGCTCCTGGCCAGGGTGAACCAATTCAGGTCACCCTCCCAGGGCCACAGGCTCTCCTGGGGTCACATCCTGCCCGCAGGGATGCTGCTGTGCCTTCGGACTTCTCAACGGCACCGTAGGAAATGAATACACCCTGATCTCGGGTTGACATAAGCAGTTTGTGAGCGTGCACGCACGGATGCGCTCAGGGAGGCGCCTGGGCAGGAAGAAAGGTTTTTTCCTTGGGGTTTGGTAAATGAAATCCCTTGGCAATGATGGCCGTTCGCAGGGACCGTGTCTGCCCCCCGCATGACCTGAGCCCCTCTCCAGCCCGCAGTGGACCCGATGGGGCCGGTGCCTTGAACGGGGACGTGAGGAACGCGCTGTTCCTCTCCATATTGATGCATCTCGGGCAGAGTCTCCATAGCGACTGCAGCGCCTGCAGCTCGGCGGGGCCGGATCCTGACCCACCGGGCGCTGCAGAGCCCGGATGCCGTGAGAGTGGGGCCGGGATGGAGGTGGCAGCTCCGCTGTCCCCTGCCCCTCGCCGCTGCCCGGCCTTTTGGTGGCCTGTGTGGGCACTTCCCATGGCCACCCCACCTGTCCTGCAGCCGGGCCGTGCTCACCGCATCCTCCACATGGTGCCTGGGACAGGTCCCAGCACCTGCAGCCACTGCTCCAGCAGAGAGACACACATGCCTGAACCCCCTTCCCACCTCCTCCACCCCTGGGGAGACCCCATGGGACCACCACGGCCCCGCTCCCCAGCACCTCCTGAAAGCAGGCTGCGCTTCGTGCAGCCGCTGCAGGCAGGGAAAGTCATACGTGTGTCTTACTGCCGACTCTGCTAATCACAATGTGTTGCTTCCCACTGAAATGCTAATCAACGCACCCTGACTTGCAATTATTCAGTGAACTTCTCAGAAAAAGGCTGCCGGAGCAGTACCGGGTAGGGAAATTCATCAGGCAGCGAGCGCGGCGCGGGCGGGAGCCGGGCAGGACGATGCTCAGTGCCGCGCTTCCATTCTGCCCTGCTCAGCGCACCAAAGGCTTTTGTATAGTTAAAAAGCAAAGTATTTTTAATATCAGCAGATGGTGCTATTAAAGATAGCTGCAAAAGCGCAGCCTGACAACACGCAGAGGCAGACCCGTGCGAGCGGTGAGCCGCTTGCCCCAGACTTTGCTCTTTTCAGAAGCCGTTGTGTGCGTACGGGAAGAATTTGTTTTGTGCTTGAATCTCTCTGATTTGGCAGGGGAGGGATCCTGAAAACAAGACACCGGAGCCAACAGCAACCCAGCGCCAGGCTAAGTGCAGCAGCTGCCCCTAAGCGGTGCGCTCTCCATGCATTGCCTTCAGCCTCAACGTCTCTACCCTAAAAATGACCCCGAGCTTTGCCCAGCCACAAAGTGCTTCCTCTTCCTGCAGGGCTGTGGCTTGGGGTGGCTCTTGCACAAAGCGACATCCTAATTACCCCTGGGGAGCACCAGGTCTTCACGGTCAACAAGTCCATGGGCTTCACGGGCCAGCCCGTCACCCTCACCTCCATCCCCTGGGGCAGCGGTGGCTGGGGACGCCGGCACAGCCACCGCTCTGCAGCAAAGGTCACTTCCAAGCCGGTGCTTCAGCGCCGCATTGCCACATGCTCGTGATAAATGACTGTTCCCAGCTCATAAAGCCATTATCGAATTTGGCACTGTCTCAGAGAAGCCCTCAGCAGACGCCTTCCTCCTGGAGCGCCCCGGGGCACGCGGCTCCCAGGCCTGCCCTCAGAGCTGACCGAGCCCCTCGCGCTCCCGTTGTGCTTCTCGCCTTATTCAAGCAGGAAGGCTGAACGATAAGATCAAGAACTTCTCTGGAAATCATCTATATTCACATCCTGCCCTGGAGCTGGACTCTTTGTACCCGTCCTCTGCTGAAGGGCACGGCCTGCCCTCCTCCATATGTAACGGCTTGGCAGGCGGCGCGGCAGCCGTATTGCAGGGCAGGGTCGCTATACCCCCGGCATCCGTAATTCAAGGAGCGGATAAGAGGCTGCAGCTTTTATTTCACTCCTGCCCGTTAGGAGGCTGGCTGCATCTTCTTCCATTACCACCTATTTTAACAGAATCGTGTCCAACAGATCACCGCCCGGTCCTCTCTCCCAGGACAGGGAAGCCAAATCCAGAAGTTTTCTCCCAGTGGAATAATTTTAAATCACGTGCGGAGATCGGTTTCAGGTCTCTCCATAGCCCTGTGTTTGCATTTCACCATCTTTCTTTTTCCCAATCCCTTTGACACCAGTGACTCGGTGCCGTGCCCGTCCCCGGGGTGGCCACAAGGGGTGGCACCGGTGGCACCCGGTGCTCCCGGAGAGGTGTGCGATTCAACGCGCTCTGCAAATGCCGTGTCTGCATCTGCACGTTGTTCTCCTGAACCTCTTAGCGCTCAATTTATACACTCAAGTCATGTTATTTCATCTTTCTCCCCGAGCTAGGGTGAAAATTGACAGCGTTTGGCCTTTCCCACCAGTGAGAAATACCAACCTGGGCAGCCACCAACCTGGGCAAGGAGTCCCCTGACCTGTCCCCAACACTTGTCCCATGCCACCACCCCACCAGCCCTGGCAGCATCTCTGCTGCAGGTGAGCCAGTGCCACGGGATGCATTTTGCAGCTCGGTCTCTGCTGCACTCGCCATGGACAGGAGCACTTGGATAAAGCCACGCTCCTCGCAGCAGTGGCTCTGGATGGCCTGTCCCCTGAGGTCACCAAGCTGGAGGGCTGAGGCTCAGTGCATCACAAGAAACCCGCAGGGG